GAGAGAACTTCCGCTCGGAAAGGTTACAGATTTCGAGCACCCAGGGGATCGCTCGGCGAATACGGAAAACTGATTAGGTGGAAATGGCTATAACTGTATTCAGCCATCATTCGCAACAACTTCTCTGGTATAAAAAATCTTACCAAAACATTCATCTGCATCTTTTGACGTATGTATTGGTCCGCAGACTTCATTCCGAACAAAGATCCTGTTGTGACTGGATCTGGTTCTGGATGCGTCACCACCCGAATTTGTCGACCGAGGCAAAGCGAAGAACCTCTATACTCAGGAAAACGCGACTTTTGTCGGCCACATTGGCCAAAATTTAAAACAAATTTATTTTTATGCAAAGAGTTCTTATAATTTTGACCTTTATTGTATATACGGAATACGGAGCCCTCAGAATATTCGCGCGAAGAACGTTGCGCCTACATCATAAACGAAAAGATAACCAGTATTATAAAAATTCGGAAAACGGAATAAAAATTTGACCGTTGTGGGCAACTAATACACACTGTGCTACGACCCTATCACGGCGTCTCACTACGTGACTGGATTAGTGTCCTTCGGGAACGATCCCTGCGGGCAGACCGAGAGCAGCCAGTACACCAAGGTGGCCGCCTACCTCGACTGGATCCAAGCCAACGCTCCGGCTGGCGACGCTACCATCCAACCGATCACCACCACACCTCCAGTCTCCCGTCTACTGCAGCGTCCACCCCGAGCAGCGCACCCGGGGTGTCGGGGACTCCAGGATACTACTGGTACTATCCGGACTAGGTGACCGGCAACCGCAATAAGGGACTTCCGGCCAATATGTTCGACGGACGGTTAATATCTGCAGATTGTCATGGAGAAGGATTCGATTTCGGCTGAACGGTGATACGGATGTGATTTAGACTTTAGTGATACTGATCTTCGTTCTGTGGGTTTGAGCCAGTTGTGATGGCGTAGCTAGGCTGCAGTGATTTCTGTGACGTGTTGCATCTCCCTAGTACTGTACTCTGTACGTGTTACTGGTGTTTAACGAAGTGTAGTGACTTGACTGTATACTACAAGCTGAGCACGGATGAATATAGGCTCACGATTAGTGGTAAATTTAATTCGTGTGAACTTCGCATGCACTGTAATGAAACTTTGTCACTGGGAGCTTTAATGATTAATAAACTTCGGTTTTTTAGCAGGACTTTCGCTGTTACGTTTAGGGCTTGCTTGAGCCAGGTTTCTGCGCTTATGAACATATTTTGCAGATGTACGAGAACAATTAATGTAGATGTACTCGTATCTGTACTCGATATTGAAATGAATAGTCTTTATTGGGCAAAAGCCATCAAAATAATAAAAAGTGCATACGCAGAATATGTACTACGCAAAATGATTCACATTTAAACATTAAAAAAACAGCCAAAATCGTTAGCGCTGTCAGTCATTTTAGAACGCATACCCAAAGTGCCCAAAACAGCAGCGGCATTTCCTTTTACAACAGCCAGGCTAAATCTCTGCTTTAAAAATGCGGTAGAGCGTGGCTTCCCTGTCGCGTCGCGAATCCTGCCAACGAAACGAATAAGCTCCGAAAATGCCGGACCAAAAGTTCCAAAGGTCTCGACCGCCAGGGGATAAAGAAGATATCCCATTCTTTCACAAAGGCGTATTTACGACGTTTACTGTCTTCGGCCAAGAGCGCAACACTGCCGGATGCACTCGCGCTTGCCCGCACATGGGATAAGGCTACTGTGTCCCAACATGTAGCGTCCCAAAGGAGCGCTTTGCCGTTACGTACAGGAACGAGAGTCATGCCGGCTGGTCGTATATTGTTTATACCGGACAGTCCCAGTGGCTCGCTTTGGCATGGATACCCAGCATGTTCCAAAGCCCGCTTTGTTATATCGTTGAGTTCCACATGTCTAGACCATCTTCCTCGGCTGCTGGAACAGGATAGGCCGTGGTGACCATTTGTTTCCACATGGCTTCCGCAGTTCACACAGTCGTGTTCTTCTACAGCTGGAAGTCCAAACCGAAGTGCGATGCCAATACGCACTTCTTCATCCCGCAAGAACGTGCGCAAATTAGGTGCAGGCAAAGCATTTAGCCATACTGTTGTTGCTGTCATTTCGCCGTGCAAAATTGTAGTGAAAAACTATGCCCGTGGTAGCAAAGCAGTACATGGTAGCCCTATGGGATCCATGGTAACACGCGTTTAAATGACCACTGGGCGTAACAAAATAAAGCTGGCGAAACGTAAACAGCCCAGGAACACTCCCCGCAGCCTGCAGATTCTGCTGCAGTTTAATTCAGCAAAATCAGGTGATTAGAAGCTGAGATCACTGGCCGGGAGGGAGAGGAGCGAAAATCCTGGCACAGATAGTTAGTATTCATATAACAATGTACTATTATATCCCATTTTACAAGCCTGTCGACAAATTGGACATAACAGGAAACATAACAAATTTACCGGCTACACTTAAATCCATAGTATGGCGCGCCACGCCAACACCATTTTAACGAGTAAAAAAGGTTTGGTGAGTCGGTGACCACTCCGTACACACCCTTTCACTCCGTACACAACCTTTTGCACTCCCTTTCGTTCCGTGCACAACCTTTTTGCGCACTACCATTCACTCGGTGCACTACCAAACTTTTATATATATTTATATACATGTATATTATACTTAAATACTTATCAAGGAACTAGATCTATAATATAACTACAAAAAAAGCTGAGGCATCGAGATCGGAAAAACCAGAACCTAATAAAAAAAACTGTAATCGCCATTAGATTCAGCATGTTCAGAAACATGTTCAGAAATACTCGTACAATAACTCTGCTGTGAAAAAATTTAAAAAAATTAAAAGGTTGTGTACGGAATGAAAGGTAGCGCAAAAAGGTTGTGCACGGAATGAAGGGGAGTGCAAAAGGTGGTGTACGGAGTAAAAGGGTGTGAAAGGGTGTGTACGGAGTGGTCACCAAAAGGTTTTCTGCTGATTATAGCGCAGTATCGGGCAAAACCCGCCAGAAAACAGCCAGAAAACTTGTCCTCTGTAACATGCATTTGGCTGTTTGGTACACGCCAGATATTTTAATGAGAATAATGCTAATTATGCTGATTGCTTCGGCGAAAGGTGGCTAGAAAACGGTAGGTGAAGTAAGAGACAATCCAACTGCGGAGCGCATTTAGGCTTGGCAATAAACATAGTGCAGTGGCCGTCATGCAAGCGCCAACTTCGAGCTAATATCGCTCTACCTGCGCTTTGACATTCTCAAGTTGGCGACAGGCTCGTACATCAGTTTATCAGCATCCCACTATTTCTGCAGTATATTCCCGTAGGCAACAGTATACATGTACCGTTTACGCTAGAGATGGCCTATCCTCTTGGAAGCTGTCTTCTCTTGAAGCTGATAACAGATGGCTGTTTATCTGTACGGTATAATTATGGCAATATATTGTAGCGATAGAAATTAGATGTACCGCCAGTAGGAGTGATAATTGCCTTTCTCTACTGTTTATTGGTTGTTGTGTTATGAGGATCAGAATCCTAGTTTTGCTACTTTTAGCGACCGCATCACACGGTCAGAAACATCTTGAAATTAGTCTTGCTGCAGCTTGCTCCGAATCTTGCTAACGCGCCTTCCGCGCTTCTTGCTCAACGCTTATGCGTCTTGCTCCTCAGCTTGCCCGCTGATTCTTGCTACGTTGTACTTGCTAATAAACACCTGCGATGACCTTGTGTTGTGTTGCGTAATCGCTATGGGATGATCGTGCATCTCCCATCATTGTCACCCTGTAAACGGTAGTCAGCTTCCGGTCAGCATCGCTGCCGACCGTGCCAGCCTTTCCCACACTAACAGCCGACAGATCGTGGTAAGGTGGATTAACCAACGCACTAGAACAGCAGTCAAACCGGCTGCTGTTACAATATCGTGCGCGATGCCCAACCGGGGAAAGGCAGCGGTGTGGCATGCCAGTGTTACAACTTCAGCTGGAGCGCGCCGCGAAATGTGCAGCCGATGTAACCCGTAATTTTGTTGCCCAGCTTAATTCTCCATACCGTAGTGAAGTAAAACGTACCGTTAAACGTAGTAAAGTGCAACCGCTTTAAGAGCTAACTTCGCGCTCGCAGTACCTTTAAGAGGAGTTTAATGTCCTTTGCAACAGGGCTTCCACCCTAGGCTTCTCTAGGCTTCAGACAATACACAATCAATAATCTTGCAATCATGCAATTTGCAATACTTTGACATCAATAAAAGCATACTTAACAATGTTAACCTTTATGGAAAATGCATAGCAGATGAAAAGTAAAGCAACGGTTAATACGAATACATGTACTGTAGCAATACGAATAGGTATATTATTTACTTTACTTATAATTTAGGAAATTACCGGGCAAGCTTGTACTCGGTATTTGTGGCAGCATATGAAATTATTATGAAAATTCAGCGCGGAATCGCGGCTTCTGTCCTGGGGACGATGGGATGTTAGTCATGTTATACAGAGTCTGAACTTCAGACTCTGAAGAGTTATTTTACCTTGTTCTAATTATTGGGTTTTTTAAGCTTGTACAAGTTGAATCAATAAAGTTTTATACAGCTTGTACTTGTAGATTTACTCTGTACTTTCTGTTATGGTTATTGAAATTTTGCTTACTCATGTAATTACCAGTTTGTCGTTATAGGTAATTACTACTCTCATTCCCACGCGGTACGCATGGCACCAGTACAGACGCTTACATGTTCTAGCGCATATTATCACTCGATACCGACTTATTGCAGAAATATGGCACTGGACACGCGACAGCCACAAATGATTGTATATATAAAGCGATTTAGCTTTAGTACGAGTAATACGGCCGTACACTGAATTCGGCTTCGGCTGAATAACTTTGCATGTCATCGCGTCGCACTGACCACTGTCGCCAATGATATCATTAACTGCAAGCACACCATCACCAAAAAAATATAGGTCTTAACATAATTATTATTTTAGCGTACAAAGAGAGTCTGCGTTGCTGTTTGCCGTGGTCGGAACCATAGGGAAGCATTCAGTCGCGCAGCGGAGAATATTAAGAGATACATTTTGATAGTCCGCTCGCGTGCCGTTGTAATTCATGGCTGACTTCTTCAGACTGCATTCGTTACCCGGCATCTTCCTGCTCTTTTTCGTGATCCAAGCATCCCACAGCAAACTTTTTATACGCCGGAACCGGCGACCGAATCCCGGTCAAGGGGACACCACCGGTTTCCGGGCAATCGCTGGCGGTGTTCCGCTGCAATCCACCTCGTTAGTCGACACCGGAGGCCGATCGCGACCATCGAAACAGTGCGGGCAACCCGGTGACGGCAGCGTCGATCCGTTCGGGTTAAACCGCAGCCCGGCGACACGCAGCCGGCAACGGGAGATCTTCGGGCGCCGGCGTACCGCCAGCAGTCCGCGGGAATGGCAGCCGGAAGCGGAGGGACGGGTTCTGGGTGGGGCTGACATAGGCCCGAACACCGCCTGCTGGCAGGTACGTGATATCATACAAACCAACTAAATTTTGCAACTGTTCATTAGATTGGCGTTGGCTGTTATATGCTGAACGAAGTCGCAGTTGGTTACGCGGATCACCATGACAGCTTTCTGTTGTCCTAACTAGTACTCGTATTTGCATAGGCGTTGCTTGTGGCAACGGGAAGCGCCGGGCAACAGCAGACATGTGGCGGGGTCATAATCGGCAGCCAAACCGTGCTCACAGCGGCCCATTGCCTGCTTGATAACACCACAAGGTCTCTACAGAATTGACATAAATATTCCCGATCGCTTTTTGCTGTTAATTATTTTGTTAAAATTTTCTTTATTTTATTTTGTTTTATTTATTTTATTTTATTTTATTTATTTTTTTTGTTTGATTATTTAGATTCACTCGTTTTAATTTTATTTTGTAATTGTTTTTACCTGATTACTGATTAGGCGACAACTGCCGGCTGCTAGCGTTGTAGTAGTCATAGGCGCCACGGCCAGTGCACCTTCCCTTGGCACCGCAGACCCCAACGGCTGCACGGAAACGTTCGCTGTGTCCACCATTACCACGCGCCCGGACTACGACGACCTCCTTAATGACAACGACCTGGCGCTGCTACTCTTGGCCGCTCCCATTGCTATTGACCGGAAACCTTGCGCTTGCACCCTCTGCCTGAGTCCCCGGGAACCGGTTGTCGGGGACACGTGCGCCCTTACCGGTTTTTCAGCGGAAAAGGTCGATCCAACCGGTAAAACATCTGGCCGCTAAATTTGCTGTTACTTGAAAAGTTTTGATATGCAGTGACCCCGGCGACGTTGCTGAAATGGGTGGCACAGACCGTGGTAAACCAGACCGACACCGTCCTGTGTCCGACCTTCACGGATGGGACCCGGCAGACCAACCGCAGCCGGAACATCTGCACCACAGCTCCGATTGGACAGGGTTCGTGCCAAGGAGACGATGGTCAGTGATTATTTACTATTATCTCGCTGTCTCACGAGCTGAAGCGCAATCGCGTACAAGTTAGCAGTAAGCACCTACTAGGTGGTCCACTCGTCTGCTGGGATCCCACCGGCAGTCGGTACTACTTGGCCGGTATCCACGGCTTCGACTCGGCGTTCTGCGGTACCGGTCTCGGCAGCCAGAACACTAAGGTGGCGCCGCATCTCCAGTGGATCGCCGACAACGCCTTTCCCGGCGACGTCCCGATTCCCGGGCAAGCGACACCGGTATCGGTGACCACAAAACCAAGAGTGTTGCATCAAGCTCCCTTCCGGCAAAGTCTCGACACCACCGAATCCTGCGGCCTGATCGGAAACGGGATAACCGACCCGTTCGGCATCGAGAACCAGCCGCGCGGGAAGACGGTGTTTGGGAAGACCGCTCCTTCGGCGTTAGAGACGGCCAAGGTCATGGCCATCCGCCGTGGCGGGCCGAAGCGCCGCCGTGACTCGCGCAGTGACGGGGCCCATCTCGAGCCGAGGATTCTTGGCGGTCAGGACACGAATACCAGCATAATTTGCTGGCAGGCCTTCGTGGTGGTCGACCAAGGCAACGGGCAGGAGACGACTTGTGGCGGGGTCATTATCGGGCCGCAAACCATCCTGACGGCCGGCACGTGTATGGTCAACAGCGGCGGGTAAGCGGTACAGAACAACTTCCTCTGCCCTGCTGTTTCTTAGATTTCTTAGGTTTCTTAATCTTCTGACTTAGTAATGAAGTTAGACTATTTTCAGCACACCAATGCCGGCGTCGGCCTTCTCCGTCGTCGTCGGCGCGGTGGACAGTACCGCCCCGGTATCCGACAGTCAGGATACGTCGGGATGCGCCCAGCAGTTTTCGGTTCAAACGGCGTTGATCAATCCGGGCTACGTGTTCGCCAGCGATGATAACGATATCGGTTAGCATACAACTCTTGATAGACGTCCGTTGGTATCTGTACAATGAAAGCACGCTGGTTGCAGGAATACTGACGTTGTCCACGCCCATCGATCTCGTCAACAAGATCTGCGCCTGTCCGATCTGCCTGACCACGCGGGTACCGGCCGACAACGAGATCTGCGTCATTAGCGGTTATGGATCGGAAACCAACGGCAATCGTAAACCGACGTCGAATAAATTGTATACATATAAGGAAAAAATTTGGGGCGTTCACTTTCAGCGCTTCGTACTGCGATTCCCTTGAAATGGGTCACCCAGAACATCGTCCAGCAAGATAGCAGCTGTGCCAAGTTCTGCGCGGGATCTCTTTGTACCAATGTCACTAACTACATGTACGTGTCTTTGCAAAGTCTGGATGAGAATGACCTTATTTATTCCGGTGTTATTATAGTTGCACGAAAGGCGGAGCTAATAAGGACCAGTGTCTTGGAGACAACGGCGGTCCGCTTTTCTGCTATAATCCTTCCGAAGGCAACTACTACCTGGCGGGCATTATGGCCTTCACCTCGGAGACCTGCGGTGCCGGGCAGGGCGCCCAGAACACCAAGGTGTCCCTGTATTTGCAGTGGATCGCCGACAACTCTCTCCCTGGTGACGTCATCTTCGACACGACTGCCGTGGTCACCTCTGGTACCCAAGCAACGACCCTCGGGACCACTACAGTGGCCTCGACTCCGACTGCGACTGCGCCGGTCTCGACTGTGAGTGGCGCCACCGTCACCCCGGCTCCCGTTCCCAGTGGTCGGGAACCGTGCGGGATCCCCGGGAACGGGCAGACGGACCCTTTCGGCATTGTCAACCAGAGTCGGCTGAAACAGGCATTAGCATTCCACCCGGCCGGTGTCTCTTCTTTTATGGGTCCCCGGCGGAAGGAACCCAAGGCCCGCCCGATGCGCCGGGACTTTTCCGAAGCGATGGACCCGTTGGCGCGAATCATTGGCGGGACAGACACCACGCCGACGCTGATCTGCTGGCAGGCTTTTGTGATTGTCAACCAGGGCAACGGTCAGGAGATCACATGCGGCGGCGTCATCGTCGGCCCGCAGACCATCCTGACGGCGGCTACTTGCATGGTCACCAACAACGGCGCGTGCGTGACGCCACTCTTGTAAATGGCAGCAGCATCGGTTTGACCTTTGATTCTGTAGGTCTCTCGTCGCGGCGTCGGACTTCAGTGTGGTGGTGGGCGCCATCGACAGCAATTCACCGGCCTCCGACACCCTGGACCCGACGGGCTGTGCCCAGCTGTTCACTGTCCAGGCGGCTGTGACCTATCCTGGATACGTCTACAGCACGGATGATAACGATATAGGTTAGGCAAAACCGGTGTGAATTTAAGAAATCTGGGAAATCTAAGAAATCTAAGAAACCTAAGAAACCTGAGATACGCTGATGTCCGTTGCAGGTCTCCTGACACTGTCGACGCCCATCGATCTGGTGAATAAACCCTGTGCTTGCGCGATCTGCCTGACGGACCGCGTGCCGGCACTTAATGAGTCCTGTGGAATTAGCGGATACGGATCCGAGACCAACGCTGTAACCCGTAAGGCGTTAAATTCTATGCGTTAGTATTTTATATTCGCATCAGTCCATATACGGTATATCTGTACAGCGCCGCGTAATATTATCCCCCTGAAATGGACGACACAAAAGATCAGCGTCCAGGATAAGAACTGCGCCACGTTCTGCTCGGGCTCATTGTGCACCAACGTCAGCAGCTACATGTAAGTAAATGCTCCGCTCGTTTTGGCCGTCCGGCATGATTAATGCGCCTTTTCTTTTAGATGCACGACGGGTGCGGTCGGTCAAGACCAATGCATCGGCGATGCCGGTAAATAAATTTTAAAACTAATAAGGTTATTTTTTTAATAAGATTAAGTGAAATATAAAATACGCCGAAGTAAATTAAAAGTTGATTAAATTAAATTAAATTAAATTAAATTAAATTAAATTAAATTAAATTAAATTAAATTAAATTAAATTAAATTAAATTAAATTAAATTAAATTAAATTAAATTAAATTAAATTAAATTAAATTAAATTAAATTAAATTAAATTAAATTAAATTAAATTAAATTAAATTAAATTGAATTAAATTAAATTATTACTCAGGCGGGCCTCTGTTCTGTTACAATCCGGGGGAGAGCAACTACTATTTGGCCGGGATCATGGCTTTCGGCTCGGAGACCTGCGGCAACGGGCTGGGCGCCCAGAACACCAAGGTGTCCGTGTTCTTGCAGTGGATTGCCGACAACTCACTGGCCGGTGACGTCATCTTCGACACCACCGCGGTGGTGACGAAACCGCCGCCCCCGACCACCACTACCACCACCACAACGACGACGACGACACCGGCGACTACTACCGGTGCTACGCCCGCTGGCAGCTGCGGCCTGTCCGGAACCGGAGCCGCGGATCCGTTTGGACTGGCCACGCAGTTCCGTTTCGGCTCCTTCGCTAAATCGCGGGTGTCGGTGTTTCCTACGATCGTGGGCGGGACGCTGGCGCAGTCCAAGGAGATCTGCTATCAGGTGGGTAACCTGCTCCTAGCGTGAATATAGAGTGACCTTTACCGGTGACTATGACCTTTAATGGTAACTGTATAATGATGACTGTGACCTTTTCGGTGGTGTGACCTGTCAGGTGGAGTAGTGGATCCATTTTGAGAACTGTGACCTTTTTGGTAACTGTGACCTTTGTAGGCGGTCGTAATAGTGCAGGTCAGCGCCGGCCTCGTCGACTACTGCGGCGGCGTGGTGGTCGGAAGTCGGACGATTCTCACCGCCGGACACTGTCTGCATAACGATACCACCGGGTACGCTGCATTCCTCACCACCATCTTGCCACAGTTTTGTGACCTTTGGTATCTGTTTCCAGGGCGGCGCTGACGGATCTCAGTCGTATCTCGGTGTACGTCGGCGCCACGGCCTTCTTGCCGACGGTCGACACCACCGGCTGCGTGCAGCAGGGCACCGTGGCGCAGATCATCAACCGCGACGACTGGAACGCCAATAACCTCGACAACGACATCGGTACGTCGAAGCGACGCTGTCTCAAAGCGGTGCAACGTTGTGTTGTGTTCGCGTAGGGATGCTGGTGCTGGCCACGCCCCTCAACATCGCCGGCAGCGGCGGCTGTGTGTGCACCGCCTGCTTGACGGACCGCCAGCCGGCCACGGGGGAGAGCTGCATGATTTCGGGATACGGCGCGCAGACGCCGGACGATAACGCCCGTACGTGCGCGTCGTTGCAGTTAACTCGAGTTATGCCGGTTAATTGAACGTTCTGTTCAGCGCAACCGGATGTCATCTTCCTGTCGTGGGTGACGCAGCCCGTACTGGCGCAGAGCACCGACGGGACGTGCTACGTACTGATTGACCCGGTAACCGGTTCGTTGACGAATCTGAATGATTTTATTTGTGCTGGCGGCCAGAACGGGAAGGACAGTTGCCATGGCGACAGGTAATATGTTTTCTTCAGCTAATAAAATATACAAGTGATTCGTTCTTGAGTACGATACCACAAGAAATACACACTCATGGATTACGATTTACAACGATTTTTATACGGTACCAACCCGCATTTTTGTGAAAAATTTGAAGAGTGGTTCATAATGAGACTTTTGGTACACCTGAATGCATTAATTAAACATTCTGGAGTTTTGATTCACACATAACTATCCGACTGGATGATCCGCGCGCAAACGGGTTTCACGTCTACGTATACCATCAAATCTTTTGGCTACAAAATACCATAAAGCAATACAAAGATTAAATTTTACTGCACTTGTTTTCAGCGGCGGTCCGTTTATGTGCTACGACCCGACGACGTCATCGTACTACGTGGCCGGGTTAGTGTCCTTCGGGAACGATCCCTGCGGGCAGACCATCGGCAGCCAGTACACCAAAGTCGCCGCCTACCTCGACTGGATCCAGGCCAACGCCCCGGCCGGCGACGTCACCATCCGCCTGACCGGCGTCACCACCACTAGCCTCGCACCACCGGTCACCACGACGACTGCGGCTGCTCCGCCCGGGACGACGGTCAGCGGGGCGCCGGGGACCGGGACCACCGGCTCCTATACCTACCCGGACAACGTCTACCCGGACTACTACCAGATGACCGGAAGTCGGAATAAGGGACTTCCGGCTAACATGTTCGGCGGCTAACCAACATCGGCGCTTAGCTTAAATGAAGTTTTGCTGTTGTGAATAATATCGCGTGTTTATTTGTCCTTTACCAGATCTGTTCGTTGCTTTATTCGGCTAGTTGTTTCGAAAACGTCTCGGTTTACATAAACATATCAATTCACTCAATCGTTTATTATTCAGATGGCATTCTGTGCAAAGTACGGTAATTCATATAACATTTTGTTCCGGAATCAAAAGAAGGCTTCTCGGTCAGTATAGAGTGGTCCTAGCCGGAGGCCGACGCCGCGGTGGTCGTATTTGCCGGTGAGATGGTGTTCTTGCCGTTCAAACGACTGCGCGGCGCCGCGGCCTCCAGCGGCTCCTCGGCGTCCGGCTGGTCCGTGGCGGGGTCCCCGGGCGGGTCCGTGACGTCTGCGTCATCCTCGGGACCCGGCGGGAGGGTCTCCAGGGTCGTCGTTGGGGTCGTGGAGGTGGTGGTCGTCGTTGTCGTGGTTGTCGTAGTGGTGGTGGTCGTGGTGGACGTGGTGGTGGGCGGCTCCGTCGTGGTGGTGGTGCGGAAGGGCCGGAAGTGCGGCACCGGCTGCTGGGCCTCCACCAGGATGTCGTGCAGGTTGCCCATGTGGACGAACATGTCCTTAAAGGATCCTTTGAAGTCTGTGAAAGGTGTTTTGTAGGGGAGAGGTCAGATGCGGAGTTAACGGGGAGGACCTACCGTCGGGGATCTTGAGGGCGTCGAGGTTCTTGAACATCTCCGGCTGGCTGCGCTGTCGCTGCTCGCGGTCGAACTTCACCCAGATCTTCGTCAGGGTGCGCCCGTACTCGCCCACCTTGGAGCCGTAGAAGGCCTTCAGGCTTTTGTACAGGTCAATATCCTGCTCTGCGCATATAAGACCGTACATTAAAATTTGTAATAGTTCGACTGCTGAGCTCGCAAAATGTTGGCGTCACAAGTTTTCCATCCGGAAATCAGTACTGACTGAGGTACAGCCTTTAAACCGGGTAATGCAGTTTCTATCCTTGGAACGCTTAAACTGATAGGAATGTTTTTAAATTGTTAGCAGTTAATGTACTCGTACAAGCGGTATTAAATGTATCATAACATGCTTGCCGTTTTTATTAATCAGCCTAAAGGTAGTCACTTTGTTTTAGGAGGTTAATGATACGCTGTGTACTGTATACAATTATAACTGATTGCTAAAGGTACTGCATGAGGATGTGGGCCCGCGGCGTAATTATTCTATGCATACTGATCCTTAGCGAATCACAGGTTCCAGAGATCGTGTGCAAAGTTTTTTTTACTACTTTTTTATTAGCGCTGGTTTTCTCAAATCAAAAGAAATCCCATGGCATAAACATAAGTTACATAACCATTATGATAATATTATAACTGAAGCCAAGACGTAGTGTATTGCACGGGATCGGGAGCCGCGGAGGACCACGAGCCGGACGTTGTCGCGTAGTGAAGTGCCCATCTAGGGCTTAGTGTATGGGGCGGTCGGCGGTGCCGGGCGGCGGTCGGGGCGCCGCGGGAACGGCGGCAGCGGCGGCGGCGGACCCGGCGGCCACGCTGGTCACCAGACCCTGCAGGTTGTCCACGTGCGTGAACAGGTCCTTGAAGCCGGTCTTCCAGTCTAGTTAAAGGGTTTTATGCATGCGCCACACACTAACAATAATAGCACTCCGATGTTTCTCATACTTTGCTCACCAGGTGCTGCATTTCCTGACAGAATTAAACCTACAGAAACTCAGAAACTGACTACTTTTCATAGTAAATTGCGAAACCATATACAAGGTGGATAGGGGAAAAAGTAAGTGAGCAAAATAGGAGAAAAACCGGAGTATATAAAATTCTACCCAATTATCCAATATATAATATTAACTCCACGACCAGATTACATGTGTCTTAACAACCGATCGGTTTCGCTGTAGACTGAAAAGAACTGGCCATCCGCGTCTCGTGAAGGTACTTGCTAGCTACCGGCTGGCAAAAATAAATGTACGTACAGTGGACTTCAAAAAGGTGATACATTCGGTCCGCGACCGACAATTTATTAGTTAAGACCAAATGACCAATAAAATGACCAATAAACTGCAAACATGGCACATGCAACTGACCAGGGCCCAGTCACCGGCTCCCGGCTCCGAAAATTTCCTTTTTTGCCGGAAGACAGGTGACCCTTGGGTATGCTTGAAAAAATACTTTCAACGGCCATGGTTAAGTGGGCGTGGCTAAATTTAATTTTAGTGCATTAATACAATACATACAGCACTATGTACTGGGAATACCGTAACAGTGTACCGTCAGAGGTTTTTGACCAACACGTGTAATCAGTAGTCAGATCCTTTTGAATTCTTCTAAAAATTACCGTTAAGCAAATCACCGAGAATTATGTAGTACAGTACTATTTTGTATTGGGAAACGGGAATACGCCCCGCGACAGAGTATCATAGATGTTTGTTGGCATAAATAAAATACGCGTTATCACTACTCACTAGTTTCACAATTTTTGTTAAATTCTTCTCGATTATTGGCAGCAGTAATTTTTAGAAGAATAAGTAAGGATCGGACTACTGATAACACGTATCGGTTGCAAACCTCTGACTTTGTAAGCTACACTATTACGGTATTCCCAATACATAGTGCTGTATGTAATAATGCATTGGAATTATGTTTAGCCACGCCCACTTAACCATGGCCGATGAAAATATTTTTTAACTATACCCAAGGGTTACTCTGTCTTCCTGCAAAAAAGGAAATTTTTCGGAGCCGGGAGCCGGTGACCGGGCCCTGGTGAGCACAGACTCATGCTGAATTCAAACACTTGCGTCGCGCACAGTTCCGAACGGAAACCATCCACCGATATCTCAAACGAAAGACAAAACAATTACAAGAATTTTGATACCAAACAAGCTGTTTTTTATGGGATCTAAAAAGAAAATCGAGGCACTCAAAGTTTCTCGTAGACAAAGCATAGAATTTGAATCCACGGTTGAGTTTCAGTTTTCACGCAGAAAAAGTATGCTTTGTCTACGAGAAACTTTAAGTGCCCCGATTTTCTCTTAGATCCCATAAAATACAACTTGTTTGGTATCAGCATTCTTATAATTTTTTTCTCTTTCGTTTGAGATATCGCTGGACAGTTTTCGGTATGAAATTTGCGAGTTGCAAGTGATAATATCAGCAGGCCGATGGCCAGCACGGAATTTGGGTGTCTGAGTACAGGCAAGTTCCTGGTTGCGCGCGTTTTGTGGGTGGGTGGGTTTTGTAACACCTTTTTGAATTCCATTGTAGTACGTAGTTCTCACTGCATGTGCAGAAGCTCGATATAAAAATTTTTTTTGAAAGTTGTGTATCTTTAAGACTACGTGGGTGAGCATGCACTTGTTCCGAATGTTTAGCGAATGTGGTCGGTTGTTGAGAAAACTGGCAAATCTTCAACCGAGCATTTGTCATGATCAGCGTTGAGACAGCCGGTTGGTCGTACGTTAGGTATCTTAATCTGTGGGTTGTTAGTAATACGTACTGTCGGGGACTCTGAGGACTTCGAGATTCTTAAAGATCTCGGTCTTGTGCTTGCTGCGCTCCTCATTAGAGAACTTGGCCCACATCCTCAGCAGTATCTTGAAGTAGTCGCCTACTTTGCACGCGGTGAAGTTGCGCAGGACGTTGAACACGTTGGCCCCTGCAGCACAACAACACACGCAACATGTAACACCCAACCGCATTTAAATTCTGACCTTGTGGAAATTCATTTACAGTTTGAAGAAAACGTTACACAGACAGTTGTCGTTCTGGTGCGCTTTTCTATCAGTACTGGTATACGAATTTTAGTGACGTCAACATGGGCTGTTGTTGGCCCGATATTAATAACTTTACGTGACCGGAAGATGGCTGAATTTGAAGCTTACAGTGAGCGGCAGCCGCTGTCATCAAGCACTATATACCGCAAATTTGGCAGCATCGATGTTGCCGGTACCGCCGACATTACCCCGTGGTACTCTGTAATTCTATGTCACGGTACTATATGTATCCATACGTGGTCCTCGCGCGCCTGCCGCTCAAAATCAGTAATTAGTAACGTAATCGGTAATTAGCAATCCGAAACAAAGAAGTCAGTAATTAGTAATCAGTAAGTATGTATTTACCGGCCCCTATCATCGGCGTTATTCCCACTCGTACATACGGTATATTTAATGTACGATTAATATATACATGTATATACACATGTATATACATTTGTATATTTAACGTACGATTAATATATACATGTATATACACATGTACATACATTTATATATATGTATATTTAATGAACGATTAATATACACATGTATATACACACGTATATACATTTATATATATGTATATTAAATGTACGATTAATATTTACGTAGATGTATGCTCCTGTGTGGCAGTCTTTCTGATTGCACTGTTATCACAAGCGAATTTGTCAGGATAAATAAATTAAATTAAATTATTGCCTCTTAAATTATCTCTTTTCCCATGAGGATTCAAGCACCTAGCTGAGATAAGGAGGAAAATTCTGAATTCACTTCCAAGAAGCTCCAAGAACAGAATAAAATACGGCACTACTCGCCCAGCTAGCGGGCGGCCACTTGAACAACGACTGCTGACCGGAAGTCAGCAGCGGCAATCCAAACATTTTCTGCTTCAACATGCCATTTCACTAAGCTGTTACGTTTTATATTATGGAGTAAACTTTCTTCAGTATAGCTGTGTAGTTGTACTCGTAGATATTTACGTATACCAAAAATGCTCGGGGTGTTTTTAGTATAATTTATGTCAGGGCATCATCTTTAAATAAATTAGGAGTATATTATAGTGTATCGATATAGGTGACCACTCTACACTATACCTTTTACTCCGTGCACTACCTTTGCGGGCATTACATTTCTTGTAGAGTACCTTTGAAAGTAGATCCCGTCCTCATTTTGCGAATTATTTACTCACGGGAAGTCGCTTTATATGCTGATGATGTTTTGAATTATGCAGCAATTCTGGAAATAGCTTTGATGTGAAAAAATTTCAAAAATAAAGGTAGCGTACGCAGACAAAGTTATTGCCGAATGGTTGTGCATGGATTCAAAGGTAGTGACCTAACTAAAGGTGAAGTTTACAGGTAAAATACCTAACTTGATGTGACAAAATGTAAAAAATAAAAAGTCACACACGTAGATAAAGTCAGTGCTTAAAACGATGGTGTACCGCATGAAAGGGAACGCAAAAAGGTTGTAGTAAAAGGTAAGGAAAGGTAGTGTATAGAGTGGTCAGCATAAATGTAACATACCGCAATATACTACTTTATAATTTACGATACGATAATGTGTCGATAATGATATTTTATCCATACGCGGGTAAATTTACGCGCGTGCATACCTCCTAGTTTGGCCTCGAGCTGGAGGATATTGGAGTTCTGGAGGAAGGTGGCAAAGTGCATAAAGGTCTTGACATCCTCCGGCGACAGCTTACTGCTCAGCTCCGCCGGCCAGTACAGGTCCTTGGCCGGGGTCTGGTTGGCCCCGGCGGCATCTGCAGAAAGCGCCCGGCTACACATGACATTTCTGCACTTTTACAGCCCGCGTCCGATAATTTAGAATACGCGCAGGAACACAGCGGAGAAAAACACTATTTCCATCCTGCACGCATACTACGGCGCACTGTATACGCGTTACCTGCATTCGGCATATGGCTGGCGAATATTATTAAACGAACTGGATATCACAGGAAAGTATTGACGATAAAAATGAAAAAAAAATTTAAGTAGGCATAAATTTGTCAATATTAACTATTAAACGCTAAAATCTGTGCCTTCGCACCCATTAGCTGTATTTTCTATGCTAAGTTACGAGTTTTACTATAGACTAATTTTCTAATTATATTAGTATAGTTAACAAACTAATTAATAAACAAACCAAGTAGTATTATTATACTAATTTTTTTATATATTAATTTCTATATTTTTAATATATATCATGTTATTTATTATGATTATACAGTAATTATTTTTTTATGATTATTGCGCTTCAATATTTTACTATGATGTTTATATTTATGATTTTATCTACATTCTACACATGTTTAATAAATAAATTAAACTATTTATCAATTGAATTCTTTTACGGTATTATTTAAGTGGTAAATTATCGGACGGGCTTGTACATGCATATCCGGCAATTTCAATAATCCGGCGCCACTTACGGATGTACGACACCGCCAGGAATATCCAGCACAGGCCAGTAATTATGAAATAATGGCAGCGCATTGTGCCGCGAGCCGTCTCATTAACACGGAACACCGGCTGCAAAAGGTCACTCAGCCCTCGCAAAAAAATCCTCGCGCTGCCTCGACTAACAGTTTCCGTTTGCGAAAATATCCCAAGGGTGAACTTTTTGCAGGCCTATCCAATGATACGATGTCGCGTTTGGGAATTCTATCGATTTTGGAAAAGCACACGGTCATGTGCGGGGTCAGCGGTATTTTTCGCTGTTTTGCCGGAAAAGTCGCTGTGGACAGCCGCTGATGTTTTTTGCTGCATTGACAACGTGGTGATGACAGAAAGTCACGCGCCGCGGCTTCAAATAGCACAATGCGCCGTTATTTCAAACAAATACATTTAAAATTAAAATTAACAAACGCCTAAAGAATTTAAATTTACAACAGCTCAATTTTTCCATGTTGTAACCGTGGCAAATAAGAAATTCTTTTTCTGATAGCAGCGAATTTACTGTATATAGTCGATTGAGAGCGCCTTAAGCAACAAAGCATAAGAAACCTAAGAAACCTAAGACAACCTAAGAAAACATAAAAAACATAAGCCTATTACTTATTTTCAGCATTAGTCTGCGCTATATATATATCTGTATTTTATATTTTTTCTACCGGTTTTGCTTTTACAATATAAATTACCAAGTGTGTAGAAGCGACAATAAGTTGATTCGTGATATACCGATGCGTGTACGTAAAATTATTGCCGGGAAAGAAGAAAAAAGCCCCGGAAACACCCGGAAGCCATGCACATTACACAGCACGGAATTATCATTTATTTCATCAACCAGCGTCGTTGATTGGCAGGCGCCGCGCAGATTGCCTTAGCCCCGCCCCACGGGACATACACATTATCCGCCGCCATGAATGTTCCAGCAGCAGCCGGGACACACGCTGGCCTGTGCACACAGGCCTTTGTCTTGGCCAAATGCCGGTGCAAATGACTCCTTTGTTGTCCGGCCGAGCGAGAGAGAAAAAGGGAAAATGACGGATGCATCAGTCGACGCGATGGAGGCACTGTGGATCGATGCCGTATACGCCGGCAGGGCATAATTGCCCGCGCCAGCATAGGAACCGATCGATACCGCAGCCAAGGGAGAATAATCCTTGGTTCTGTCTCTCGCTGTGCGTGTCTCGCTTTGGCTTTCTCTTCTATCCACATCTCGTCAGTGCCGGCATGGATAATTAGCCTACAGCGTTTGGTACATTTCAACGCACGCATAGTACTTCTACGTTTCTCAGAGATCGATAACCTGCGCTACATGGGTTGAACAACTGATCACCCGGGTGTTCCACCTTACTCCTCTTTTCTAGCAGATTTTGGCATCTTGAAGCCATAATAAAACATAAGAAAACACAAGAAAGCATAAGAAAACATAAGAAAACATAAGAAAACACAAGAAAACATAAAAAAACATAAGAAGGCATAAGAAAACATAAGAACAGCAGTTAATTTTCGAAAATCTTGTACCTTGCACTTTCAAGAAATCCATATAAGTGCGTAAATTAGTCAAGATTTATGTATACAGTGCTCGTACACAGGTTAAAAATAAAGTAAAAGTGAGAAAAGTAATTTTTAAGAATTGTTCAACTTGAGCAAATTTTAATAATATTATGTGGGTGATCAGTTGTTTAAAATGTATAGCAAAAGTGATCGATTGTTGAGTAGCAAAGTATTATAGCTTGCTCAGCACGATTTACACACAGCCAGCCTTGACGTGAGTGCGTGAGTGGCGACAACGTCTATATCCAGCTAAATCCGTTACACACAGGATGAGAGAGAGTGACAGCGAGACTGGCGAGAGAGAGAGAAAGAGAGACAGCGGGATTCGTATAGTCATACACGGTAGGCATGGCTTAGCTGGCCTTTCGCTGCAAAGTACACAGCCGCAGCCGTTGCTCACCTCTTTCCTCTGCGTTTCCAAACAGTGTACCAAGGCAACTAAGAGCAGGACGCTGCCGCATCAAGCCAGCAGCATCTCTGCGTCTCCCTGCCTGATCGACAAGAACTGGTCGGCTGTGTGTGAGAAGCAGAAGAGAGCGGCGGTCCAGTCTCGTGCGGGCGCCTCTCGCGGTTTGTGTTCTCCGTGTGTGTGTGTTCTCTCAGCGACACTGACTTCCTCATCTGGCGGCAGCCTTCCCCCGCGCCTGTTTCTCCTGTCCTGTCGCCGCATCTCTTGAAAAGCTGAACAAGAGGGCCCAGGCAGCCATGTTCACACGCCAGCAACCACGCCGTGCCCACAATGGCGGCGGCGGCGCGGACGGCGCAGCACCCAACAGCAGTGTCATGGCGGTGGCGGCGGCATCGCGCACGGCCAGCATCAGTCGCAGCAGCTGCAGCTCACCAGCGCACTCGGATTACAGGCTGTACAGGTTCAGGTGCCGGTACAGCTGCAAGTTGGCCAGCAGAATAATTACCTCAACCAGGCCCCATCAGCAGTGGTAAGTCGATGCTATGACGGGAGAATGCATTTATTTCGCTAGCTATGATTATCGACGGAATTTATCTGTGTTTGTATTTCGCATCGAAGCAAAGCCGGACTTGTCACCCATTTAAAGTTTGGGAATAGGTGCTCGGGATTGTATCAGTGTAATTAATCTGCGGCGAAAATCTCTGCTTACACACTATTTCCATAACGCTTGCATTTAAGTCCCAATTCTCACCCATTTTAAAGTTTGAGAATAGGTTACGGTTATTACTGGTGGAATTAATCTGCGTATGTATATACCATAGCCTTCGTGCTTCAGTTTCGCATTTAAGCAAGCCAGATTTCTCACCCATTTAAAGTCTGAGAATAGGTTACGCTCGATTATTCTTAGTGTATTTAATTAACGACGCAAATCCTCCGCTTCATTGTGTCCGTCTCCCATGTGCAGCAGCCACTGACCTTGTTCCGATTCTGCAACAGGAACTAACAGGCCCGCCACATCTGTGCAAGAGATGCTGGTCAGCACACAGCTGAATGGCATTCACTCGCGCGATGGAGGCACTGTGGATCGATGCCGCATACGCCGGCAGGGCATAATTGCCCGCGCCAGCATAGGAACCGATCGATACCGCAGCCAAGGGAGAATAATCCTTGGTTCTGTCTCTCGCTGCGTGTCATGGCTTTCTCTTCTATCCACATCTCGTCAGTGCCGGCATGGATAATTAGCCTGTTTGGTACATTTCAACGCACGCATAGTACTTCTACGTTTTCAGAGATCGATAACCTGCGCTACATGGGTTGAACAACTGATCACCCGGGTGTTCCACCTTACTCCTCTTTTCTAGCAGATTTTGGCATCTTGAAGCCATAATAAAACATAAGAAAACACAAGAAAGCATAAGAAAACATAAGAAAACATAAGAAAACACAAGAAAACATAAAAAAACATAAGAAGGCATAAGAAAACATAAGAACAGCAGTTAATTTTCGAAAATCTTGTACCAACTTTCAAGAAATCCATATAAGTGCGTAAATTAGTCAAGATTTATGTATACAGTGCTCACACAGGTTAAAAATAAAGTAAAAGAGAAAAGTAATTTTAAGAATTGTTCAACTTGAGCAAATTTTAATAATATTATGGGTGATCAGTTGTTTAAAATGTATAAAAAAGTGATCGATTGTTGAGTAGCAAAGTATTATAGCTTGCTCAGCACGATTTACACACAGCCAGCCTTGACGTGAGTGTGCGTGAGTGGCGACAACGTCTATATCCAGCTAAACCGTTACACAGGATGAGAGAGAGTGACAGCGAGACTGGCGAGAGAGAGAGAAAGAGAGACAGCTGGATTCGTATAGTCATACACGGTAGGCATGGCTTAGCTGGCCTGCCGTAAAAGCACACAAGCGTTGCTCACCTCTTTCCTCTGCGTTTCCAAACAGTGTACCAAGGCAACTAAGAGCAGGACGCTGCCGCATCAAGCCAGCAGCATCTCTGCGTCCCCCTGCCTGATCGACAAGAACTGGTCGGCTGTGTGTGAGAAGCAGAAGAGAGCGGCGGTCCAGTCTCGTGCGGGCGCCTCTCGCGGTTTGTGTTCTCCGTGTGTGTGTGTTCTCTCAGCGACACTGACTTCCTCATCTGGCGGCAGCCTTCCCCCGCGCGCTCGTTTCTCCTGTCCTGTCGCCGCATCTCTCTTGAAAAGCTGAACAAGAGGGCCCAGGCAGCCATGTTCTACACGGCCAGCAACCACGCCGTGCCCACAAGCGGCGGCGGCGGCGCGGACGGCGCAGCACCCAACAGCAGTGTCGGCGGCGGTGGCGGCGGCATCGCGCACGGCCAGCATCAGTCGCAGCAGCTGCAGCTCACCAGCGCACCCGGATTACAGGCTGTACAGGTTCAGGTGCCGGTACAGCTGCAAGTTGGCCAGCAGAATAATTACCTCAACCAGGCCCTGTATCAGCAGTGGTAAGTCGATGCTATGACGGGAGAATGCATTTATTTCGCTAGCTATGATTATCGACGGAATTTATCTGTGTTTGTATTTCGCATCGAAGCAAGCCGGACTTGTCACCCATTTAAAGTTTGGGAATAGGTTATGCTCGGGATTGTATCAGTGTAATTAATCTGCGGCGAAAATCTCTGCTTATGGTCACTATTTCCATAACGCTTCGCATTTAAGTCCCAATTTCTCACCCATCTAAAGTTTGAGAATAGGTTACGGTTATTACTGGTGGAATTAATCTGCGTATGTATATACCATAGCCTTCGTGCTTCAGTTTCGCATTTAAGCAAGCCAGATTTCTCACCCATTTAAAGTCTGAGAATAGGTTACGCTCGGGATTATTCTTAGTGTATTTAATTAACGACGCAAATCCTCCGCTTCATTGTGTGTCCGTGTTTCTCCGCTGTGTGCAGCAGCCACTTGACCTTGTTCCGATTCGCAACAGGAACTAACAGCTCCGCTCCACATCTGTGCAAGAGATGCTGGTCAGCACACAGCTGAATGGCATTCACTCGCTGGCTGCAAAACAATCTGGCTGTGCTGATTATTTCTAAAGATAGCTGGCCGTGTCTATTTGCACTGGCTGACCTCGTTCCTGCAGTGATGGTCCTTTTCAGCGCCGAATGCATTGCCAGCGTTTCCTTATTAGCCCAATCACCGCGCCAGCACACACTATGCGCGCGGATAAAATAGCGAAAATTACCAATTTATTTATCAGGAAAAAGGAATTATTATTACTTATTAAGAAAAATCGCTATAACAAGCTAAATTAGAATTATTTTTTGATTTATCGATTTTTAGGCTGCTTAAGTTTTTTCCGGTATAAATTCGTCAGTTAAATTCTTTCCTATCGATTTTTAAAAACAGGAAATTGCGGGTAATCAGGAATAATTACGGGACGTGAATGCCACGATATTATTATATATTATTATGATCATGTGCAGCGTCGGGCGTTCCGCGGAATAAATACGCCGTTCAACGCCAAATGAGATTGGGCAGAGTGTGTGTGTTTATTTTTGCACAGCTGTGTCGGTTGAGCGCAGTGCGGTGCGGTGTGCAGCAGCCAGCGCATTTTCTGTCAGTGACGGCTGTGTCAACACAGCGCACATCCATCTCCACACTATCGATCGGAAATGCCGTTCTGCCGATCGATACCGGCATCCAGCGCGCGCTGCGTCGGGATGGCGAGCGTTCTCCTCTCCCCGCGTTCCCACACCACTTTATGCCCATTTAGCCGGCGACCGATTGGGCCGCAGCTATTTCGGGAATCACGCAGAACGCAGAGAGTCGACAGCAATTTTCACTGCCGCGCGCGCACCCATCGTTAACGTTATTACTGTGGATAATTTCGGCGCTGTGCGGCCTCGTTTTGCTGCAGTTTTGGTGGTGGCTGGGACAGGGAAAAACTGAAAAATATTTGCACAGTTGCTTTTTGCGTATCGGGGAAAAATATTTCCATTTTTCGAGTATTTTCCCACGGATAAATGCGTGGGAAAACAGTCCCGCGGTACATCATATTCGCACAAGAAATTAGTGCACATTAGTATAACATTACCAGTTATTAACGCTGCTGCATTTTTACCCGGCTAAAACGTTACAAAATACACAAAAATTAATTTAAAATATATTAATAAAGTTTTCGGTAGAGTTTTCCCACGAATGAATGCGTGGCGTGGGAAATGTACAGATAGCTACAATGTATTTAAATGAGCAAAATTAATACGCATTAATATTAGAATTTAAAGCATTGCCTAGTAGATTAAATAGTCCAAGGTTAACGCAGCAAATAAATATTACCCAAGCTGCCGACAGTGGTTTCTACCTCATTGAAATTCACCGCTGATTATAGCGCGTGTCAAGGTGGATGGCGCGTCAATGCAGACCGCAAACAGTGTACAATGCCGGAGAACAGCTGCGTTGACAGCAACGCTTCCGTTCGACATTCGATACGGTCAACGCGTACATAAGGATTATTATAGTAATAAACCCGTACGTATGTTTAGTGATATTATTATACACTTTACATAGTTTAATCGAAACACTGACTGTTTACTTGTACATACAGTACATATAATTTGCAATGATGACTAACGTGATTAAGACTAACGTATTAAGTTACATGAACTTTTTACTTTGTACTGTACTTGTACTTAATTATTGTTAAGTAGCAGCTCAGATATATTTCTACTGTTCTAGGTAAAGTTGTGTTAGAACAGTGTGCATTTCTTATCGCGTCCATGGTAACAAGCTTATGATTGACCACTGGACATAGACAAATGATTTTGGCAAATAGTCAACAATCTTGGATCCACCGCTACACCTAGAGAATTTTGATGTACTTTAAAGCAACAAAATTGGTGAAGTAGAAGCCGAGATCCTTTGCCTCAAAGGACAGGGGCCGAAGTCCTGGCAGAGATAATCAGTATTCATATAATTATACCCTTTTGTACATCTGTACATGATGGTATACCTTTTGTATACGTTGTTATCCATGCATCATTTACACATCCATTGCATGCATATATATTGTATGTGCACTTGTACACAGTACGTATCTGTTTGTACAATTTTATTTACGCTGTTTATACTGTATCTGTATATGCGTTTTTTACATTAAATGCTCTGTATATATAACTTTCTTCTACGTATATGTAGGTACGCTTTTTTAGCGTTTTTATATCGGTACGAGTATAGGCGTTTCCCAGCACATATAAAATTACATAAATATAGATTTACATGATCGTATAATATATGTAGATTTATATCTTCAAGTAGTTGTTATAAATACTTACAGGGTCACATGTGTACATCTATACGTACACGTGCTGCATGTGCATATACTACTTTGTATATAATTGTAAGTACGAGTACATGTGCTACCGATAAAAACATTTTCATATGGACGATTTTACAGTGCGCTTTCAGTGTATATTATCATTTTAACAGGCGGAAGCGCTGGTACAGGCGCAGCAGCAGCTGCTGCAGAGCACGAAATCCTCGCACAAGAAGCAGAAGAACGCCCAGAAGCGGCCCATGACGGCGTACCAGCTCTTCATCCGCGAGCACTTCAGCCGGCGCCAGGGCGACACGGCCGGCATGCACGCCAAGGACTTCCTGTGCTGAAGTTGTCCGGACTGTGGAAGGCGCTGGAGCCGGAGGAGAAGAAGGCCTACCAGGAGCGCGCCAAGGCCGAGAAGTCGCGCCGGGAGAACGAGGCCGGCGGCGGCGGAGGTGGGGTGTCGGATTACTCGATGCTGCCGCTGAACGGCGCCCAGCTGGACCTCTCCGGCGGCGTTAACGGGTCCGGGATGCGGGGCGGACCGCCGGAGATGGACAGCCGGATGGATCTGGGGCTGGGCGGGATGCACGCGCCCCCGGGGGACGGCTTCGGGATGGGAGACATCAAGGTGGAGGATGCCGACGGGGAGGGCAGCGAGATGCCGCACGGGATGCCCGGCGGTATGCATGAGGCCATGGATAGCGGCGGCAACTGTAAGCAGAAAACTTTGACGTTAATAAATTAAATTAACCCCCATAAGTATAATTAATTTAAGTTTCACGGTGACCTTTTGAATAACAAACGTCCTTATATAGTATATAAATTTATGTTAATTATCATAGAATTGATAGAATATACGTACTACAATATTAAAATTTAAAAAAATATAAAATAAATATGTAAAATTTTAAAATATTAAAAACTTGAAAATTTTTTTATGGATTGTAATAAACAGCATTTTTTAGATTTTAAAATGAATTTCGAAAGTTTTAAAATCCATTTTAAAATTATGGGAAAGTTGTATGAACCCGAAATTGTTCACTTTCAACTTTACGACCACGTCCCTTTCGCAATAAATTTTCAAGAAGATCGGGTAATAACCTGACTTTTGGTACACAACAATGCGTTTAAAATTTTCGCCCATTTTAGTTAGCTATATTGGCAACCGGATGTTGCGCGCACAAACGGTTTCAGAACAATGTATACAAATCATTTAGCTTTAGAATAGCATAAAGTATTGCAAAAAAGCTATTCGGGGTGCGCGAAAGCGAAAGTTTTAGTGTATGTATCCCATTTCTGATACTATGTATATAAACTGTCAATGTTTTTCGCTTTTACAGCATAATCCTCAACTATTCTGGATCCTGGTTAGTTCGTACCTCCGAATTATCGTGCCGGAAGTGTACTGACTCCTGTTGGCCAGTTCCTCCGCAACTGCGACATGTACAGGGTGCTGGACTGCGCCGCCAATCAATAGCCAAAGATGTTCTCTTCCAAATCGCGAGGGACGCTTGTGCGCTCTCTCACCTCACTCTTTGACTTGCAGTGTTCGCTTCTTCCGGGCTCTCTTACTGTTCTAAGCCGATTTATGATAAACAGGGTAGTGTTATCTGCATTATGCATTGGTTTTACTGTTTTGTTTTGTTTTTTTTTGTCATTTCGTGCCAAATGCCGGGTCAGCATACGTTGAATTAGTATGTTAATGATGTGACGAAGATCTGTTGGTATAAATATTGAAACTATGACGAAGTCATGGCGTACACATATATGACGTATTGCGCGAGGGAATATTGATACTGTGTACAGAAGATGCGGTAGTCATTACAAAATAATAATTTTATTATTATTATTACATCATCATCATCATTAGGGAAACTGACCAAGTAATACAATTTGATTTCTATCTTTGCAATCATTCAAACAGCGAACTCTTAAAAATTAAACTGAAACAGAATTCCTGCAAGTGCTATAAGGAAAGTGGACCGGTACATGGTGCCAAATTCGTGTACATGCACGAAAATGCACACTTCCGCGCATTCCCAAACATATTTTTGTTTCGGTTTATGAAGTTTTGTAGTCAAAAGAGTTGTATACACTGGCGTGAAAACCGTTTGTGCGCACAACATCCGGTTCCAAAAGTCTCATTATGAACCGCTCTCCTTCAAATTTTGCACGTACTCATTGCACATGGCCACGAAGATCGTTTTTACACCGATCCAGATTTTCAAGATTTTTTTTACATTTTAAGAAGAACTTTAAAATTTTTGAAATTCATGTTAAAATTTAAAAAGCATACTGGAACAGTGGATCGGTGCAAAAACAATTTTCATGGCGCCATGTGCATTTATGGGCAAAATCTGAAGGAGACCGGTCCATAATGAGACTTTTGGTACACCAAAATGCGTTTAAACTTTTTGGAATTTTTCAACAACCACAACTCCCGAACCGGATGGTGCGCGCACAAACGGTTTTCACACCAGTGTATACAAATTATCTGGCTACAAAATCACATAAACCAAAACAAAAATGTGTTTGGCAGTGCGCGAAAGTGAAAGTTTCCGTGCATGTACACGAATTTGGTACCATGTACCGGGCCACTTCCCTTAATACTTCCAGGAATTCTGTTTGTTTATTTTTAAGAGTTCGCTGTTAGAATGATTGCAAAGAAGAAAAAAACAATTGCCGTTTGAAACGTTCATGATTTTGAGAAATAACGAAGTAAACATCAAAAGACATACTTCTATTCAAGTTATTCACTACATTCGCTCAAAAGCGTTAATATTAGCTATGTTTTAATGAAAAAAGTTGATTTCAATTATTCATTAAATAGTATTAACCTTCTTAAAACATAATACTGTTACAGACAAAGCAGACATACTGTTAATTATTTATTATTATTATTAGAGATTATTTATTAATATATTGTTTAAATTTTCATTTTTCTTGTTCTTCGATCTTATTTCATAACAATATGTTTAACATTTGGCAAAATCTTTAATAGGAATGTCGAACAGTCATTTAATCAGAAGACCTTAAATACTGTACCTTAAACTTCAAAATATAAGCGGGCTTTTCTTCCGTGGACAGCAATCAGTATAAAGGGCAAATACAAATGCAGATGCTAACAAACCAAAATTTTAATTTGGCAGCAGTTGCGTTTGTACTTGTACTGGCTTTAAAGTCAGTAATGTGTTGTTATCCTTTTTATTCTGCAGACCTTTAACAAGTACCGTGTCCCCTTCCATCAGCTGCCGCATCTGCCAGGGCTAGGTATGTACCTAATACTCATAACGGTCCTCATACTCATAATCCTACTCCTCATTCAAAATTCATGCTCATAATGGCTCTCATAATCATAATCTTACTTTGGTCCTACCGGTCATCATATTTTTGTTCATAATCAAAACTCATACCTTTGCCGCTACTCATACCAGTGCGCCCCTGCGCTTACAATCAATATTATTAGTAAATGCATTATATTATTTATTAAGTAACGTATTATTGATAGAAGTAGCCCGTGTTAAGCGTGCTTTGCAAAACATTACATCTTTGTTTTAATATCTGCTGTTGCCGTGACTAACAACGATCAATCTAACTGCGTTATTACTGTTCATTTTTTTGTGTATGTTTTACTTTAATACCGAAAACGAGATAACAATATCAAAAATCTTGAACAAAGGAAACAACATTTTCTACCATACCGATAACAGAAACGGCATTACCTCTTTGAATTGCTAAAAAAGTCTACCTTAGATACTCATGGCTTCGAATCTCGCCGGTATGGAACTCGATCCTCTTTCCGACTTCTTTGACCAGCTTCTTGGCCGGTACGGTTCCATTGTTTAAAAAATGGACGAAAGTGGACAATCGTAGGTTTTCTTACTTACGGTAGTATTTTACGCAGATTTCATTAAGTACTTAGCTTTCATTACTCAGTCCAGCTTTACTGAAGTCATTTTGTAGTGGAGTCTTTTTTTTGATAAATAGTTTTTCGCTTCAAGCTCAGATGAAATAATTTTGACGAGTGGACGATAGGGGACGGTTGAGTATACTATCGTGGTCTCAACTTCAACTGAATATTCCATTTTTGACACACTGGTATGAGTAGCGGCAAAGGTATGAGTTTTGATCAAGAACAAAAATATGATGACCGGTAGGATCGAAGTATGATTATGATTATGAGAGCCATTATGATTATGAATTCGAAATTAGGAGTAGGATTATGAGTATGAGGACCGTTATGAGTATCAGGTACATACCTAGCCATCTGCCAGAGCATTCCTATGCTGGTGAATGCTGCTTTCCTTGGATGAATGCCTTGTGTGTCATTTTCGGCGCCCGGAATATCTCTGATCGTTTCGTTACCTTGTCAGGTACTGGAGCAGCCGGAAATACGTCCAAGCAGTGCTTGGGACGTATTTATGTCGAGCTGCTTCTTTTCTTTGCATTTTTCCTGTACAGGAAAAAGGCAAAGACAAGAAGCAGCTCGACATAAATTTCCATTACGGCCAAAATAATAATATTATTTCAACCGTAATGGAACTTGATGTCGAGCTGATATATATATTATATATCCCGATTCTACGGTAGGCACTTTTTTAACGTCGCTTAAGCAGCTTTTAAACGTTGATCAGTGCTGCGGATTACCTCTGCAATGCACTGGTGAGATGTCGCAGCTACACATAGTATCAGTACAAGTATACTTATGGAGCCGTTTTTGACATACACAAAGACGTCTCCAACTATGGCCTTTGAACGTGCTAAACGTGTCAAGAAGCGCACCAAAAACTCTGAGAATCGACGTTCGCCTTCAGTTTTTTATTACCAATCGTACCCGCATTCCATCAGTAAACAAAACAAACAAAAATTAACAAATTAAAAACCGTCCTAGAAAATACAACCCAACACGAAAAAATAAAACAATATTCTGGATAGAAATCTAAAATCACAGATTTATTGACTTACTAGCCACTGGCGCTGCTAATGAAATTCAAAAAAAAATTCTTCACCAACCAAACCAGAAAAGTCTGACAATATTGTCGAAAATGTAATCGAAAATGTAAGGCTTTCATCTTCCGGGCATTCATCGTCGCTACAGCCGTACACCGCTTGCCACGTTGTATCCAAGCCCGTCGAAATACACTATAAAAAGAAGATCGAGGAGACATCAAAAGAACTTTGAAATTTTTGCTATACAGCAGGCATAAGGAAAACGAAACTCACCCTTTGTCGCTCCACTGCAATTTGGATGCTCAATATGCATAATTCCCGATGGTGGCTGTTGCTGGTTACTGCCGACCGCGCGCAGTTTCTTCTGCTTTTCAGTCCAACGATTTCGTGTGCGCGGTTTGACGATGCCGTCGTGACAGCAGTTCCTGTCCATTGCCTTCTTTCTTACCTATCGTTTTAAAATTGTTGCAGAATTTTCAGTAATTTTTGGAATACATACTCAACTGCTATATAGCCGAAACGCATTTTATCATTTTACCCAATTGCCACAAAACTTGCGATCAAAGCAACGAGCTCTTAATATGCAATAAATATTATATATATTATTTATTCAGAAATATTGCTTCTATTTTTTTCAGACGCGGATATAACTTTTAGAGTAGACAAGCTCTAAAACTAATGTGTTAATTTTTATTCGTAGCTTACTTTTGAGCAGGGCTGCATCATCTGTGGTAGGGACGATATCGTCAAGAATCGGATTCTCGTGTTGCGAATTCCGCAGGGCCTTGGGAGTGCGGCCATTTGTCGCTCCGATGGGACTTATCGTTTTTCTTGGCATCAACTTCACGTTTTCATCCGGATACGGCCTAATAAACAAACCTTAACGCGAACTCCAATGCAAAATCAGTATAATGCAATTAGCAAAAATAGCTGCTCAATTAAAACATGCGATATCGCAGATTTCCCTGTAGTACAACGCCCGAAATCTATAGCCACTACAGGAGCGCAACATAAGAAATCGATTTTATTCGTTTACCTTCTGCATGGCAGGCTGGGTTAGGGTAACTTCATCGTTTCTTTCATCTTCTGCGATACCAAAGAGGCTGGCCGGATACAGACGATTATCGTCGGACTGTGCGTTGAAAGGGGGTTTCCTGGCATGAAGGGATGGTTGCAGCGCAGACAGCGGACTAAACTGAAGTTTTCCGAATGTCCTTCAACAAGCGAACGTCTTTGTAGGTTCGCACAGGACGACAAGAGCGACAAACGGGCTTGTTTAGATCTTCTTGACTTTCAGAAGCAGTCCATCGCCTGATAGCCATGTTTGCGATATCGCAGTTAACTTATTCCAGAAAAGCGAAAACGAAAAAATATCCTCAAAACGGTGGAACCAGGAGTTCAAAAATAAAAATATGCATTCACTCTGCAGCGAAAGCAACAGCCAAACACGACTGGATTCAGTGGAAAATACTAAGGTTGGGCATTCCAAGGGAAACGTCCCTTTGGAACGGATTTTGGATTGGAACGCGGATTCCAAAATTTGGAATCCAAGATATTCCATGGATTCCATGGAATGCGCTCCAATCCGCGGAATTACAATAAATTAGTGGAATTAGCATAATTAAGCGTTATAATTAATTGCAGACGTTGATTTTCTCATTTTACAACCGACCTCTTTCGTTTCAGTAGCTTTCTACCTTATAAGTTGAACTTCGGGGCTCGAAATCTGCAGATGTGTCATTACATACGGCGTATGTCATAAGCCATAGATTTTTCTCATAGTATGATACTGCAGTAAGTAGTTGATACTGCAAACAAAAAAATTTTTTAGATCTAAATTACTTTTAAATTATTATTATTGCATCATAATCATAATACAGCATGCAGGTATGGTATTACTAATGGTAAATAGAAATGGTAATTACCGTAATAAATGTTTATAAAACAAAAGGGCTGTTCATTTTTAACTTTACGTACGGTACAGTTGGTACTTGTTTTAGTTTTCAAATTGTTTATACTTGTACTAGGTTTCAGATTGCTGCCGGGTGCCGACTGATTTTTATAGTTTTTACTGGTAGCAGTTAACGCTACAGCTGCACTACCAGTACATTGTTCGAACTTCGAAGCCGCTGCTTATTTGTTAGCCTTTGCTTCAAAATAGCGCAACGAGTAGCAATCATAGGCGTAAGCGTTTAATCTTTATGTATGCAAGTATAGGAGTTTACGTGGCCTGGGCAGTGGCGATTATAATTAATTTAAATTTTAAGTAATAAAGGTTACTGTACCTCTCCGTTGCGTTAAGCCTTTGGCAATTTTATAGCGTAAAAGCAAATCCACTGAGATGTGTGGGAAATGGAACTTAAGAACCCAGAGCCAAGTTATGCAAGGTTTACTTTGTAGTTTTTTACACGAATTCGCTAAAATTAATGGAAAAAAGCCTTTAAAAAGGTTATTTTTGCTAATTCCAACGAGGAAAACAATTCCAAAAATTCCACGTGGATTCCGCAAAATCCGCATTCCATTCCAACCGCCATTTGGAATATGCGGATTCCGTGGAATCAAATTCCACGTGGAATTGGATTGGAATTGGAATGCCCACCCTTAGAAAATACCATGGCGGGTACACTGACTCTGAAACAAGTACTGCCACGCAACCAACAAAATAAACATCCTCTGGTTGGGCACTGCGGCTTTGGACAGGTCTTCCATTTGGCCGAAACGCAGGTTTCGATAGAGTAATAAGTGGCACAAAGAATGTGTAACAAGACAATATTGTCAGTGATATTAATAATTTGAATATTTTATAATAAGGGAATAAAGGATCAAAAATTTGGATCAATGAAAAGTACAAACTGTATGCAGTAAGATAATTTTTTATTTTACCGAGTGAGTGGCAGTTAGTCAGCATATTCAGCACGGGCCTGTACGGCACCTGTGCAGCACCTGCTTACTACGGCCTGTGAGCGGCTCAAAAAACAAACAGTGCAAAAGCCTGCATTTTGACACACATCGCACACCACTGGACATCTCCTGTACGTATAGTTTTTTACCGTGTAGAATCGGGTATATCCCCCAGCCAAAATAATATACTAGTATTAGTATTACTGGGCAGCAGACCTGGGCAGTTTCGGAAAATGGAAAATGTGTCCACCGTTAGAGTTGTGAGTCACAAGGAGCGTGCGAGTTATATTTTGATTCGAGTTATACCGCGTCTAACGGCGGCGAGTTAAGCTATAATATATAGAAGTTTTATGCGAGTTACGTGCGAGTTAAGTTATTTTGGTAGGCAGTTACGCTTCACAGTTACGCCAAAACGCGATAACTCGCAAATAACTCGCGCTAAGTTAACAAGTGAGTTATAACTGTCCGCGTCTGTTTGGGCAGTATTATTACGAAGTTTCTCCACATCCATTTCTCCACACTATCGATCGGAAATGCCGTTCTGCCGATCGATACCGGCATCCAGCGCGCTGCGTCGGGATGGCGAGCCTTCTCCTCTCCCCGCGTTCCCACACCACTTTATGCCCATTTAGCCGGCGACCGATTGGGCCGCAGCTATTTCGGGAAACACGCAGAGAATCGGCGCGGCAATTTTCACTGCCGCGCGCGCGCACCCATCGTTAACGTTATTACCGAGACTAATTTCAGCGCTGTGCGGCCTCATTCTGCTGTATAAAAGCTCTTATTGAGCGTATTACTAAAATTCTAATCTCAATCGACAGCGCAGCGAACTCAGTTAACGATCAGACAGACCATACCAATTGGATCACATTTTGGTGCGCCTTAAAGGCGCATCCTCCATCCTCCAGGAGCGTGCTCAGCGGAAACGACACCGCGACTAGATGGATTTGTTACAAATACTGTTATACATCCCTATTCCAAATGGAAGAAACTTCCCTTTGGTATAGGCTGATATAACAGTATCTGTATTACAGCTACGTAGTGTATTAAATGTTTTTGTTTTAATTTTTATTGATTTTTATCTTTTAATGGAGACATCTTCTCCCGTTGTCTCCAAGGTATGATAATCAACTGCAAACTTATGGCGTATTAGTGTGGCTTTTGCTAAGCAGAATTGATTCGTATTTATATTTGTATAATGCTTAGCATTACTCGTAACCCACTGAATTGGTATAATGCTGAGCATTATACGAATTCGTGAATTACGAATATTGAATATTGCTAAGCATTATACGAATGCAGGGGGTTAAGAATAATGCTAAGCATTATACCAATTAGCGATTTTGGAATAATGCTAAAAGGCATATAGAATTACAAATTTCAAAAATTTTTAATATACTTAACTTTAGTCTGAAAAACTGAGAAATGGAGCCGCAGTGTGTAGTACATACAGCGCCGCGCCTGTGAAGTCGTATGGACATAATTTGCTACCGAAATAAACTACAATCCGGTTTGTTTCGGTCGCACATTGTGTGCATACTTTGTGCAAATTGTGCAAACTTTAAATAGAAATGTGCAAATTCTAAATAAGCACATTTCATAAATTCAAGCACATTAAAAATTTTATCTTTTTAATTCTGTATCGGTTTTAGCATTATTCTGAAAACGCTATTTAGTATAAAGCTTAGCAATATTCAAATTCTAGCAATTTGTATAATGCTTAGCAAATATACAAATTATCCAATCTTGAATAATGCTAAGCACATACAAATTGGCTGAAATGGTATAATGCTTAGCATTATTCCCAATTCGTAGCATTATTCGAATACAAAACCACACTATGGCGTATATTATTACCGTAAATGTTGCCCACTGAAATCATGGTAGTACACGTATGTGCTTAACAGGCTACTTTTGCGACTGCTTTATTTGGCCTTTCTGTGTACGTACAGAGGGTTATTCAGCCAAGTGTGGACACTTTTTGGAAAATTTCTCCTTAGCCGTCGCAGGCTCATTTTACTATTTTAAAAATTTTATCAGGTAAGCCACAACATCCAAGCATACTTTGAATTTAACCGGGTCCCGATTCCCTCATCCTGTAGCTTAGGAAAAAATTAAGTTTGTTAACCCCATGTTGGCAACAGTTGACCAGTTCAGCTATAGAAAATGGATTCCCTTTATTCAAAATTTATCTAAAATTTGGATTTCCGCCATAACCCGTTGAAAACCTGTCGGGGGTTTCGAACTATCCTTTTTCTGAAGGAATTACTGGTTTTTCTCGATTGGGAAGCTGCATCCTTGTTTTCTCAGCAGTGCTCCCGGGAACACGTCTCGGGTTCTGGATGACTTCTTCTTCCGTGCCAGGTTTGATCCGTGGAGCGTCTTTCTCGACCAATGAACATTGCAAACGGTAGAAAAAGACTTGTTTCACAATATTAGTTTATGGAGGGACGGAAAGGATAGCTATAGTTTCGTGCATAAGAGCTCGCGCATTGAGCATGGCTCTTGCGGGTCTCTTCCTGTTTTTGCGTTTTTTCCAACCGTCCTACCACAAGAACCCGCAATAATATGAAATCGTTTTTGCTATAAAAAATATTCGGATCGCCGTTTTTAACAATTAAAACCATCCAGATTTGAAAAACAGACGATCCTCTTAAGGCCAGATGATCAAAAGCCAAATTTTGACTGGTCAAGGGGTAGAAGTCGGAGTCTTTTGGTCAACAGCCACTATGGCGAGCATTTTACGATGGATTTTCACCAAAATTTGCAAAAAGCATTCAGACTAGTTAGTCGTTGTACTGAGATGCTTATAACGTCATTTCTTTTAAAATGAAATTTGAAAGGAATTCTTTTCGAAGTGTCCACACTTGGCTGAATAACCCTCTGTACTTTTGTGTTTCTGAAGTCGATGGATAATTGTATTGGCAGTGGGAAGCAGCGGGAGCGCGTTGCGCGCTCCCGCTGCTTCCCACTGCTCAAGGTCAGACCTTGTCGCGGCCCCGATCGATACTGCTAGCGCAACGGGTTTCCCTGTGCAACACGAGACGTTTTAACAGTTCAGCGAGATGTCGTTTCAACAAACTGTCGGGTCATCATTTCGTCGGTCAGCAGAAAGTCGCCAGCAAGTTGTCAGTCAGCCGGATATCGTCAGCCAGTTGTCGGTGTGCCGAAAATGGCAGTAAATGAAACCGCCGTTTTTGCTAGCCTTATACAGTATCCGGAAGCATGAGGTGTCGCTAAATTGCTTGTGTTCATAAAAGGGGAAAAATGGCAGAAAATACATAAAAATGGATTAATCAGGGTCAGAGACACTAATATTCCAGCATGAAATCCACATTTTTATAGCTAGTTGCCATCACAGGCGGTTGCAGTATATACCAAGGCTGAAAAATCATAACAATTATCTTCACACTGACAGACATAACAATGATACAACACTGATAGACATGATGTAACTGCAACAACGATATTTTGATAAAAGTCGCCTGCGTTAACCGTTCTTTCTTGGTCTTGTCGGAGCGGGCACAGAACGTGTGTCCCCTCCGATGTGTTGTAGCTAAGCTATTAGTGCTGCTGTTCATGCCGATCAATGTGGATTGACTGCTGCGTGTGCCGGGACTGCGGGAGCGATATACCGGCCCGAGTCGGAATTGCCGCATTGATTACAAGGCTTGAATGAGACCGTACTTATCGATCGATGCCCGAACCCAGTTCCTTTTGGCCAACCAGAAAGTTGAAAGTTTTTTGGGCCAAAACGATTTCTTTAACCTCCATCCTTTCATTTCTGATGTCAGCTTTATATTTGTTTTATGCTGTAATGATAAATTTCTTATATTTTTGATCTGATGACTCTACTGGTTTTGAAAACTCTAGACCGGTTCTGAAAACTCCAGACTTTTCAAAACCAGTGGATTCATCAGAAAACATAAAAAGACAGATCTGTTTAAGGAAATGCCGATCTACTGCATTCGTTTAAAATTGTTTAGAAGATCAAGAAAAGACACTGATTGTATGCAGAGCACCGGATTCCGATTTCTGTCACACACTCGTGCTAAACTTATCGTGCTTTTTGCAAAAAGCACGATAGATTTACTGCCAGTCTGTGACCGGAACCGGAAGATATGGAACTTAACTTGGTCAACCCTGCACAGCTCCTGGCGTCAACGGGTCCGGGAAGCGGGGCGGTCCGCCGGAGATGGACAACCGGATGGACATGGGGCTGGGCGGGATGCACGCGCCCCCGGGGGACGGCTTCGGGATGGGGGACATCAAGGTGGAGGATGCCGACGGGGAGGGCAGCGAGATGCTGCACGATATGCCCGGCGGGATGCACGAAACCATATGGACACCGGCGGCAAATATCTTCGACCTTAAGGGATTCGGCCCGGTACATAGCATCCAAACACTTTTTTGGGTTGCTTTTGGACATTGTGTAGCCAGATTATTTGTTACACAGGCGTGAAATCCGTTTTTGCGCGCAAAATCCGGTTCGGGAGTAATGTCTATTAGAAATTTCCAGAAAGTTTAAATGCATTGAGGTGTACCAAAAGTCTCATTATGGACCGATCTTGCACGTCCAGTAAATGGAAATTATTATAAAGATTGGTTCGGTGTGGAAACGGTGTAAAAACGATCGCACCGAGAAACGTAAGCTGACCGGTCTGGTGAAATAGGTACGCCGTATTGTGACTGGGTACTATCGCCTGTATTGAACACGGACGGCAGCCGTACAAAACGGTCAATGCCCGCATAGTAGTCTGCTGAGAGCCAAGTGCGGTCTGCACCTGACCATCGAAATTCGTCTATTACTGTTTCAAAGCCCCCGAAAATTTCATAAGTATTTTCGAATTTAAATTTTATGCTGCAGTACTAGTGTCCTTGTACCGAATTGTCCCGTGACTTTATCCGTCAGATAATGTCACGGGCGGCTAATTTCAACCGGACTGGGCGGACTGAAAGATTATTCACCGCTACGGAAGCGGGATCCGGCAGCCGGCGGCCGGCGGCAACGGCAACATGGGCTGGCACGGTTGGCGTAAACACCTGGCACAGTTCCGCTGCACATGCTTGAGCAGCATCACGCAGCCACTTGGCCGGTGCGCATGGGGGTACGTGTGATGGCGTCCACCCACGCGAGAGTCTGGTTCCCGTAGCGATCTGAAGAGCACATGGTTTTGTATCCACCAAACGGTGGCGCCCGCGGCGTCCGACCGCCAGCTCCACGGTGTCGCTCACGAACGGACGCTACATCTGGGTCAATGGATGGGCTCCGGGTTGGCGACTAATTCCGGCATATAACTTGAACGTGGGGATTAAGGCGGCGCGGGCTGAACACCGTGTCACTTAATCGGCTGTTTCATATACTGTTTACACCACTGTAATCCAATACGTCAGTTATTTATTGTACTATTATGCTACAGCTGTTGCCATAACCCGTTCCGGTGCGGTGTTGAGTCATTACCAGCACTAGAAACTTGATAATTATTATTATTATTACGGCACAAGAGCAGACAGCCTCGAAGGGACTTCAAGTCTGGTCAAACAAAAACAATTTTCAGATAACAAAAACATTTACTACAGCTTACCAGATTGGAGTAGAAATTTGAAAGAAGGTACAGAACTAGCTTCGAGAATTTTACGATTAACACAGCAAGAATTTTATCAAGAAGACGCTTTAGTCGCACACGTGGCACTGTGTCCGGCGATGATCGGGATTTAAAATGATTTTTTAATGATTTTGCAGTACAGGGTTCCTTTACTTTGTATAATGCACAGGGAGTACAGTTCAGTGTCTAATTAATTATCAATTAATTGAATTTAGTGCCTTCTATAACGGGCGGGCCCTTATGCATACTTCCGGTTAGCAGGATCGAAAACAGAACACTGAGAATAAAAGCATATTAGTGCAGTCTTACGTCATCGTCGTAAGTTGGAGGCAAACAGGGTGAAAGGAAATTCGACAGCTAAGGTCAGAAATGAGACATTAAGTAGGGGCACGTACAGACGAACACCGGAAGTTGAAGTAATCGTGCACTTGATAATTCGGAATTATCAAGCGCACGACTATTTACGTTGTTTATTAATTCGTGCAGTGACCTGTACTGCATAAGCACCCTTCTGTGTACATATTTAGCGATACAGTGTTCTCTGTAATTACCGTATATAAATCGCGGATGCACGAAGGTGGTGTTTCGTAAGTGCCTAAATCGACTGCAACGTCTCGTAAAATTTTTAACAGTTTGCGATAAATTTTTACTGATTATTAATTTTAATTTATTATTATATTTTATCTACTGTGCTTATTATTTTGTCTGTTAGTTTTATGTTTCTACTGTAGAAATATAATACTACTAGACAAAATAATACATAAGGTTCTGCATATGGTTCGAAACGGTGACCACTTTAAAATTGCGCTATTCTTCGCTTTCCTCCTTACTTCGGCGGCAGCAATGTCGGCGATCAAAATCCCAGATGGAAATGCAAGCAGGCGCCAGTGGCGCCTGTTTGAAGCTGCGGAGAAAGAGCGAAGTTTTCGAGATTAATGTTCGTCAGTTGCCGATCTTACCAACAATAATTTGGAAAACTTCATTGCCGCATCGAATTATTTGGGGATTCTTTCCATCGTATCCAGTACTATATCCACCGCTGTGGGAACGGTTGTCTCCTGCGCGTTTCCTTACTTTTTGTACCTTAAAGGACGGAAATTTGCGCAAAAGCGGGGGCGAGGCCTGCTCTGAGAGGTTTGATTACTTAATTTGGTCTTTCACCATGGCAACGTATGATATGTAACCACATTAAGAATAACCTTCAACGTTACATTATTAATATTGCACATTCGGCAAAGAAAATTTTATGTTTTTCACAGGTTTTTTGCCCACCAGCGCTGGGAAAAGGAAGCAGACAGGGATGGCTTATTGGCCACCAGTTAGTCGTCGTCAACCTTGTAATTTTCCTGGGTAGCTTACAGAATTGCTTAGGCAACAAAAAATATATCAGTTGTGTGTTGCTTCAGATATCAGGGAGACAAAATAGGGTAACTTACTTTTGGAGCGTCCTTTATGTTATAATACACGTACGTATAAAACTTTTATTTACAGGCCTAGGCAAATATGTAAGTATCTGTATACTCAGTGTTGATGGCGAACTTACCAGTTTTGAGACTGTCATACTTTTATTTCCTTCCTCCAACACGGTTTTTAGTGGGCGATATTTTGCTATTGCCGCACAAGGATCAACGCCGACAAATTTTGTCCATTTTAACGCGCTCGACTGAAACAACCAAATTATAAAATGTTGTGCGCACATCAACGGTTTTTACTCAATCTTATTAAAATCTTTCGACTGCAAGTGCTTTTCCTAGAATATTTGGGGAGTAAGCAAAAGTAAAGCTGACGTAAACGTATATTATGATTTCGGTATTTTATATAACAGGTAATTTTTTTTTAAATTAACAATTATTTCAAAAATGCTTTATGTAGGTAGACTGCAGTCACTGCACGCATAAACATACAGATACACGCCAAGTATACCAGCGTAGCAGCAAGCGTGAATACAGTATTCGTACAGAAGTTTACGCAGGTAAGTGTGTTAAATTTTATTTCAGAAATATAGCCTAGAAAACTACGAAAAAGGCAGCTGAGGAAAAACCGCTGACTATATTAAGAAAAAGATCAATACTACGCGCCGCCTCCCCACAGTCTGGAGATCTCTCTAACCAGAAAAATTTTTAAAAAATGTGATACCACAGTCACATCTGCCGTCGTCGTTGTTGCCGTTGTCGGCACATTGGTAAAATAACGGTAGGGTTTAAGACTGTTAACCACACGGACTGTGCGTTCGCGTAAGAATTGTGTAAGTTTATCGGGCTGTTCGATTTTAGTAGGACCACTCCTCTAACATCTAAACATCTGCTAATTAATTCTTCGCTTAATTGACAACCAGCACATGGCCAATGAGGTGTGATTTGGTCGCGAAATTTGTTCTGGAAGCTTAAATTTGCCTACATATACTGGTGCCAAAAATATGAGACAGTTGGTCCATACCCTCTCCTTGGAAAAATTACACGAACTTTTAGTTTGATTTTTGTCGGCTGCTGCATTCGTTTAATATTACAATAATAATCCTTAATTCAATGTGGCTGACAGAGTTTAGCCATTTTCTGTACGCAGTATCCAAAATTCCGTTCAAAAAATGTCTCCTCTGGTTATTATTTATAAAATATCTCCTCTTATTATTAGTTCATTCATTCATAATTTACTGAATACATGCTCGGCACATTGTTAACAAGTGCGTGTACATTATTCATGCGGCCGAAAAATACACCAGCGTTCTAGAAATTTTCCGGACATTAGGAACCTAGGAGACCGACGTTATGGCAATTGGGCGGTAAATCACAGTAATATTGCACCTTATTTTGGTGAGAGCGTATTGGCATGTTCACCTTAAGATAGGTCATAAAATGATGATGAAATGGTAAATAAAAATTCCCGATCGTTATGCTGGGCCGTTCAATATAAAGATAGGTACATTGCGCTCGAGACTGTGCGGACGCTGTTAATTACGTTCGAAAGACGTGCTAAGTCAGGTAAAACTAAGGAACGCCGACTGCGTGAACCATTCCTCCTTGGTCGGGTCGGAGCGGGCCCAGCACTCCACCTCACTGCCGGCGTGCTCCTTCGGCCAGGTGACGAGGATGGTCAGTGTTGACTGACAGTAGGTCTCTTCGTTGGCCGGCACGACGTTCTCCGCGTGCGTCGACGACGGCGTGCTTCGTTCGACATTCGACTGGAGGCAGAACATGGCGTTGAAGTAGTGTCCGGGCGGAACGCTGAGGTAGTTGTCGTGGTATTTCCAGATAAAGTGTTCCCTGATGCGCCTATGCGCAATTACTATAATGTAGAAACAAAGCTACGTACCTGTATTTTCGAAAGCATAGTGGCCGGCATATGTGGTTGCCCATGCGTCATGGCGCCTCGAATACAAGGTACACTTACCTTGCAGTGTAACCACGCGTGTCTATACGTTGAGTGAGCGCATGAACGGCATACAGTGCCGCACAACTCACACTCTTTTGGATAGATAACCTAGGGAATTGTCAAAGTTGTAGTGTTGTTCTGGGTTGATATTCATCTGACGTGCCACAAGTCTGCTGGACTCCAACGACGAGAAGTACACATTCTGCCAAATTACAGTATTCGCCACTCTACGACAGAAAAAGACACAATAGCTGGTTGATACACAAGACTAGAAATGGCTCTACAGTTCGTGTTAGGCCCTGTACTGGCTACCCTATGTGTTCCGCAGCTGTGTCTCTCCTGTCCATCCCGAGGAGTAGGCGAATATGAAAAAATCCGTCGTAACATGGAAGAACAAGAAAAGTTGTGAACGAAGATAACAAATGTTTGCGGAAATTTCACTTGTAAGTACGACAGCTCTTTATCCGCGATACCTTGCGAAGTTACCGTAAGGCGCACGCACTGGGCAAGTATACAAACCTGCATTTTGCATTTCCGTGCATTAACGTAAGTGCTGTATGCCCACTTGTGCGGGTTTGCGCGATGCGGTAAATGCAGATTTGACTCTGAAATGCTCTTAATTTTCATCAGCGAAAATCTCTGTAAGCGGTCAGCGGCCAGTTATAAAAACGTTACCAGTGATCCTGGTATACTCGTATTACACGAATTCCCTCTGATATGAATAATGAACGCTGTAGACAAGCGATGCCGTGGAATCTGCATACCTTCCGCGACCTCTTCCATTTTTCCCTTATTTTGCTCACTTTAATATGTTTTCATAATTTGCTCACTTTGGGTGAAAATTTCCGAACGAAACGAAGTTTGTCTGCCGGATCCCGCGCAGCACTTTTTCTGGCAGTACCACGGCAACTACGTGAGCATTCCGCGCGGTCACTACATGAACGCCATGTTCTGCTTACAGTTGAACATCCAACAAACCACGCCCTTGTCGACGCGCGGGGAGAACGTCGTGCTGGCCAACGGAGAGACCTACTGCCAGGCAACTCTGACCATCCTCGTCACCTGGCCGAAGGAGCACGCCGGCAGGGAGATCGAGTGCTGGGCCCGCTCCGACCCGACCAAGGAGGAGTGGTTCACGCAGTCGGCGTTTCTTCGTTTCACCTGAACCAAGCCCCTCCCTCGCACGTCGTTAACAACGTCCGCACACTTCTCGAGCGTCCTGCAGTGTTTTGTATAAATAAAAATTCGATATATTCGATATATTGTGTTTCATGTACTTATATGTTTATTCATGTACTTATATGTTTATGTACGAATAAACTTCTAGACTTTGATCATCTGTGAAAGTATGCAAAAATCAGGTTTATTTCGGAATCCAGACTATCTGGAATGCGGTTTCTATATATCGGTTGATAGCCCTCATTTGAGGACAAAATAATTTTCATTTTCAGTAACGGAAAACTGTAGACAGACAGTTATTAGTTACTTGCAATAGCTGGTACTGTAATAATATCTAATATCATTGTGATATTATAATACGTATTTCGTTACCCGAAATAATTGTTAAAGTTAATAAGTAAGCACCTTTGAAAAAAACTTACATACTGAAAAATAAGATACCCTATATACCGGTAGCCAGCAAAAACCAAGAATTTATTCTAACACGGAATGTGTCTTTCAAACTTTAAAAAAAATTACCGAAAGCGAAATTACCGAATTTGTTTTCAGCTGGGAAAATGTGCGCGCAGCGCGCATCGTTTATTGGATAAAATAAATTCCATGGATTTTTTTGCAGAAGCCAAGTTAAAATTATGTGCCAGTATGAACGAAGTTGAAACTATGAGGCAATGCATGGTAAACTCATTAAAATTCTAGAATTCTTGACACACTTTTTGACTTTTGTTATAATGCTTAAATCAGCCGTTGTTTGTTTTGGATCGCTAATTTCGTCTGATTACTTATTCTCCCGTCTTCGGAATGTTCAGCAGCCACCATTGAATAGCAATCAACGGAAAACAGGTATTCCCTGCTTACGTCAGGCAAAAATTGAAATGGGAAGGTTATTATATTATAGCATAAACTAAGAATTCGAATTGTAACTGTTCCAACCGTTAGCATTTCGATAACCTGTAGCTCAGGTTGCAATGCATATCGATTGTTGTTACGATTGTTTGCTTGCTTGGGACTCCGGTCTAGAGGAGGCAAGGGAGAGAGAGAGAGAAAAGTGGAGCATGCAAACCTCCATTAAGAATTTACTGCGTCCTTCGCCGCCAACAAGGATACGCAGGTGACTACCGACTAGGCATTGCTTAGTTTCCCAACCTGTTAACCAGCGGCGGTGGTTCTACCATCGGTCCACACAGGTAGAACAAGGGCGCTATCCACTGGAAACCGAGAAACGGTCAAATAATGCACCGATGGGGGAATCGAACCCCGGCTACGTCGTTAGATCCGCGTAGGCAGTACCACTGCACCACGGCGCAATACGTTGAAATCATTTGAAAGATTTTGTCGCTGTACGTCAGCCGCTTCTCTCCTCACACAGCGGTTGCTAAGCCCAACGTGTTATCCATATTGCAATTCATTAGCGCGTGGGATACGGCGCGATAACTGGGGATACAAGTAGAAAACATGCCTCGAAAAATTTTACTTGTGCCAAGTCGTCCATACCTAAAATGATCTGTACATGCTTTTACTGGGAACCAAAGAATCGAACAAAGTTCGTCAACCTTCTTCGTATTCACTGCGCCGGAAAACTGCCACATGCCGTGCAGGACATCCCTGATTGTCGTAAACATTAAGCTGATTAAAAAAACAAATAAACTATTTAAAACCCGATCGAAGCTAGTTATTTGGCCAGTATCTGCGGACAGCACGGTCACCTTGAACGAGATGTTGGAACAATACTGCGACGCCCGGAAGGGGTTGTGGACAGTCCCGCCACCGGCGCGTTAACATGCACGCTGACCCCCGGGATGGGATGCTGCTGCAGCGCGTCATTCATTGCCTGTACTACTGCCCCTTTTTCAACGTGGGGGGCCCTGGTGGCGTTGGTGGTGAAGGCCACCGCGTAGTGGAAGATCCGCTGCTTGTCCGCTGTCTCTTCGGTCGTCACGAACTGGATGTCGATGGCTTTTCGCACGAATTGTTCCGCTACAACACGGAGACAATTTATTATTTCCGTTGTGCCACGCAGATACTCTGGCGATATAATGTATTACCAAGCACACTCTTCCAGCGAGCGAAAAGCAGCTTCAGTATTGCCTTTTCGGCCAAGTGGGCGGTGCTGGTCAAGATCACCGAGTGCCGGGTGGTGTTGATTACTGCAAGAAAATTAAACACCGTGGTCAATCAACAAACTGATTTTGTCGAAGGGAAGTCGTCCGGATATATTCCACCAAATTCGTGTACATGCACGAAAGCTTTACTTTTACTCCCAAAAACATTTTTGTTTTATTTTATGGCATCCTGTAGCCAGATGATTTATATACGCACATACATTGGGCGTATACCGTTTGTGCGCGCAAAATGCGGTTCGGGAGTTATGGTTGTAAGAAAATTCCAAACGGTTTATATACAGTACGTCCAGGTGCATCAAAAGTCTCATTATGGACCGATCTTCTTTAATTTTGCACGTAAAGGCACTGAAGACTTAGTATGAAGATCACTTTTACACCGAACCCATGCAGCACCATTTGTTTCAAATCTTAATACGAACAAAACTTTTAAAATTCATTTCAAAATGCGAAAAAGGTCAAAATAATGGTGGTTTTATGTAAGAACCATTTTCAGGCATATGTCCGTTTACACGCAAAATTTGAAGGAGATCGGTTCAGAACCAGGCTTTTGGTACACGAAATGCTTTTAAACTTTTTGGAATTTTCCAACAACCATAACTCCCGAACCGGATGTTGCGCGCACAAACGGTTTTCACGCCAGTGTATACAAATCATCTGGCTACAGAATGTCATAAAACAAAGCAAGAAACTGTTTGGGAGTGCGCGAAAGTAAAAGTCTTCGGGCATGTACACGAATTTGGTACCATGTATCTGGGCCACTTCCCTTAAAATTCCAGATCCCCCCGTAAGTAAAAAATGGAGATAACAGAAATTAAGGGAAGATTTAGATCCGCATGACCCGTTCCAAATAATTTCACACCGCCATGGTGCGCTCGTGACAAGGTCACGATAGTCCGCATATTGCAAATTAAGCTGATCCGATCAGGTGACGGCCACCTGAGTACCATGAACACATACCTGGTCTCTCTTTCCTGACGCGATAATCACCGGCGCTGGGTTGGCCATCGCTCATCCAGGGCATGATCAGCACGCCCAATAGTAACACCATAACCACGGACGTTAACGCCCGCACAAACGGCATTGCTGTCGGCGTTCGGCAAGCGCAGAAAGGGAAAAATCTATCAGCTTTTAAAATGCACAGTTTAGGAGAAAAAACGATGCGTTGTGTTGATTGATTTCTTTTATAACCGCCAAGAGATGCTTCAACAGGAAAACCGGGTTTCTTATGCCGCGCATACGCAGTATCTGACGGCTAAGACTGCTGCCGTTCGTTTTGCCTTGCGATCGAATCGTACATACGGGGAAGCGTAGACCCCTTGACAATTTTGCTGATATCAGTTTCGCCGCAACGGCTTATCCGCGGTGGCGGTTTGCTTGTTCATCCGCGATAGCCCAGTCGAACAGCCGGTTCCTGAAAATAGTGAGTCGGCGAAACAGGTGTAAGTTGAAGGTTTGGAGTCGGAAGTCGATCGAATGTATTGAAATGTGGCTAAATGGTGGAAGTGCGCAACCACAGCATGCCGCACAACAACAAAAATGACAACCAATCAGACGAAAATTATGTAACGAGCTAACGAGTCTGCCAGATTTGCGAATATTATGATGTTGCTAAAAGATAAAACTTTGATAAGCAGATCTTTTATAAGGTGGAAAAACATCACGGTTTGTGAAAAAAAAGCCAAAGTTTGTTGCGCTTAAAATTTATGAAACTAGATACACTGACAGGGAACACCTGTTGTAACGGGAGGAAAATTCAGGAAATGCGTGGATTGCAACTCCAAAAAAATTATATCAGCAATAACGGGCTGACCAATGTTACCAAAACACAAGGACTTTCGAACGTGATTCAACGGTCGTTGTGTGGCGAGCATTGTGTAGCGTTTGCGCACTTCTACCATTAGCTACTTTCAACGAGTTCGATCCACTTCGTTTGTCCAACTTCGACTTCACACATGTTTCGCCGACTCACTAATTATGTCATCTATCGCCTCAGTAACCCACCTCGACAAGTTTCAGAGTGGTTGTCGGAATTTGTACTTAGCAAGTACCGTCGGTGTTGCGTGGACTTCGCAGGAATATTAGTAGTCGGATCATACGAAAAATGTGGACTCTTTAAACACCAAACTGGACTCAAACTGACCACGGGTTCACGAATTCATAAAACATAACACGGGCCAGTGCCGTATATGACTGCGTAATAAACTCGTACTGTGCTGACGGAAGGTGAAAGTACGACTGATAGTCCTTAACTGCGTATAACTTTAATCGCGCAGCACGGAGGAATAAAACTGAGATGGAAAGCAGCAGGTAATGGTAAATTGATCACTGGAATGATCGATATCATACACAGCAAAACAACATTTTATTTGTCAATGCAACCGTGTTGCAACGATTCTAGAAAGATCGGTAGCTTTTACGATGAAAATAAAATAGGAGAACAATCTCTCAGATTGACAAGCGTTATGGCCAACGCCATAATGTGCTGATCCATGCACACATACGCAGTTAAATAAGCTGTAATAAAACGCATTATGCACAAACACAAGTTTAGCAATAAAAGCTCATGAACATAATCGCTTTTCAAATGATCGCTATGCGCATACCGACGTAACACAAAGTTACCTAAATACGTTTTCGACGGTAAGAATGCAGACACAAAGTTTGCTGCGGGGGTTAAATGCATTTCTACCGCGCTGTGGCTTTTGATCACAGCTGGCCATGCGGCTATCGACTAATGCTGACGCCACAACGCTAACCCGGCGTCCCGGTGTATTAAGTAGCTGATGGTGCACACTCCTCGTACTGTTAAAAATAAGGCGCTCCACCCACAGAAGAAGCTGTGCCAGTCCTTGCTAAAAGGCACACAAAAGATACCATTTTCATACCGAAAAATGTGGTCAGCATGATTCGCCCGGCAAACCTTGGTAACCAAACCAAACTCAGGCGGCCACACATCCAATACAACGTCGAGTTACTTCAGAAGGCAAAACTGGGGAATCATCGAAACTGATGTGTTTTCTGGTTTGATGTTCATCTGACCCGCCACAACAAGTTTGTGTATCTCCGATGGTCCGAATTACGTATACTCTGTACAGATATATTCCGCCGAAATTTTGTTTTTTTTTTGACACAATCGAGTTAAACGCAGAGAAGTTGCCTGGCATTTAAATGATGCCAGAAATGGGTCGGAAGTTGATATGGGGCTTACTACTGGCGGTGAATAAGTGTTCCGCAGCTGTATTTCGCATGCCTTTCTCGAGGAGACCTTTCTCAACTCCGTCGCGACTCGGACGCGATCAGAAAGCCGATTATGGAGTTACCCAATATCTGCGGAAATGGCACTCGTAAGTACAACAACCGAAATTTATTTGGGGATTAACTGAACTGTACTATCATTCTGTGTATGTTCATTACAGTGCTGCGGGAAGCGTCAATGGCGGCTAGGCGACCCCGCGATCGTGGCGCCCGCGTGAATCCCCAGTCCCCACATTGATCAAGCTGCCGGAACTGACTGGCCGCCCGGCGTTCGACCCTTCCGTTTATATACAGCGGCCGTTCGTCGGCGACACCGTCAGTCTTACGTGTCCGCTGAACAGCTCTGATGGGCGACATCGTCTGGCGGATAAACGGCCGGCTGCTCTTCACCATCCAGACCTCCGCGGGCGGACGCCACTACACTCATATCCGCACCGGGCAAGTGGGGATACTTACAGCCACACGATGTTAACTACACCGACTCCGGGAAAATCGAGTGTCTGCGGCGTCCGGGGACGCCGGAAGCAGCCAACTGAAGGAGTATCTGCTACTGCCGCAGCCGCGGAACATCAGCCAGGTCTTCCGCCAGCCCATGCCCAACGTAACCGCCCCCTGGCGAACGCCCGTGACCATGCTGTTCCCGTGTCATCCGAATCCCGCTCAGCACTTTTTCTGGCAGTACCACGGCAACTACGTGAGCATTCCGCGCGGCCACTACATGAACGCCATGTTCTGCTTACAGTTGATCATCGAACAAACCACGCCCTCGTCGACGCGCGGGGAGAACGTCGTGCTGGCCAACGGAGAGACCTACTGCCAGGCAACTCTAACCATCCTCGTCACCTGGCCGAAGGAGCACGCCGGCAGGGAGATCGAGTGCTGGGCCCGCTCCGACCCGACCAAGGAGGAGTGGTTCACGCAGTCGGCATTCCTTAGTTATACTTATACCTGAATAAACACGCCTCTCGCACGTAATTAACAGTCCTCGAGCGCGATCTACCTGACTTTATATTGAACGGCCCAGTTTAATGACCGGGAATTTTTTATTTACCATTTCATCATCATTTTGTGACCTATCCGTAAGGTAAACATGCGAATACGATCTCACCCAAATAAGGCGGAATATTATTGTGATTTACCGCCCATTTGCCATAACGCCGCTCTGCTGTTCCCAAAGTCCGAAAAATTTCTAAAAAGCTCGTGTATTTTTCGGCAGCAGCAATAATGCACAGCACTTGTTAACAATGCGTAGAGCTTGTATCCAGGAAATTATATGCGCTGCATTAGTATTTCGTAGCTGTTTCCCACGCATTTGCTGGTGGGAAACCATATACTCTCGCAAGATATTATGAATTTTAATATCGCTAAAATGCACCCTGCTGTGTGGATGTGCAATGCAGTGCACTTTTCTTTCAAATCGCGAGGGACGCTGGTGCGCTGTCTTACCTGACTCGTTGACTGGCAGTGTTCGCTTCTTCCGGGCTCTCTTACTGTTCCAAGCCGATTTATAATAAGCGTTAGAATTATCCATCGGTTTCTGTTGTTTTGTTAAATGTTTTGTGCCAAATGTCGGGTGTGCATACGCTTAATTATTATGGTAAATTTTGTGAAGTAAATTGTTGGGACTTTTAGAAATTAAGAGCACTGAACATAGAACGTATTACGCATATGTTACCTACTCTGACCGAACCAACAACCAGGGAAGTATTTGTGTCTTGGCTGCGGTTCAAACTGTTTAGCAACAGCCTGTACAGGGTGCTGCTTAACAATTTACACCGCAAGGAATACACTAACATGTCCGCTGCCATGTCTGCCGTCTTTGGTTGAACTCTTCTAGAGTATTTAGATCCCACTATCCATGAAAATTATAATACCTTGTGGTTGTAATAAACGACGCCAGTATCATCATAAAGGTACATAACGGCAGTATCCATTCCTTTTTCCCTTTTTTCGTTTTTCTCAAGTTTTTTCAGGGTTGTGAGTGCGAAATTCCGGCCGTTTACACAAGTTGAAGGACATCTTGATTATGGTAATGTTTACAACATGGGACGAAGATCTCTTGTGACTTGAACGAAATTGCGTAGAATATTGAACGTGCACAACGGCTTGCTGATAATATTATTATACTGAACACGTTCTTATATTTGGTCACCTGGTGTTAAAATGTTTGGACAAACAAAAATATAAATGAATAGCTTTCAAAGGAAAACCTTCGTTCATAAATTTCTAAGTACGGACATAGAAGAATTTCCACAAGAAAGCCAACGGAAGAGCAAACATTAGACCGGGTGCAATGTAAAAGATCCGCTCTTCCACCTTTACGAGTTTCAGGAATCTCAAATTCCAACGTTTTGAATTTTGTTTTAATGACTACAGACCACTGGAAAATAAATCAAAAAGCACGTTGAGCGATCAGTCTGGATTAATATTTCGAGGATGTCACGTAATTATATTTTGCGGAAGCTTTTAATAGAAATATGGAGCAGTCGTACCGTAAACAGATAACCGTAACGCATAATAAACAAGCGTTGACGTTAGCATATCCTGGAAGCGCGTGACGCAGCCAGGCTTGCGCTTCCGTGATAAGCAATGCAGCATCAATCCAGACAGCATTCCCGTACCGGCCCAGCCGATTTTAGGAGCGGAGTATCCCGTTTCTGAGCTTAAACCGCTTAACGATGAATAATGGTAGTCCGGTTACTGCGTAGACTATCGTCACTCGACAATACGCGATCTAAGCTGTTCATAGGACGGACTAAAGTGTTCCAGCTTCTGTCCAATTATATCCACCGGGTCTTGGAAAATTGTCCCCTCCGTTCGAAGCACTTTGTTCCCTTATATTTCCCAATCGGGGCCGCACACACAACCACAAACGATGATGATAAAAAGACTATAATTACAGTACTTCGCTTGGTCCATTATTTTAATCAGTACCACTTTAGGGATCAATATATTAATCACTTTTACTGCATAGATGCAGTGCTGGTCGTGCTGCATAGATTGCATCACTGATAAGCTGCATAGGCTGCATGGACTGAATGGTAATGCATAGACTGCATCTGAGTTAGCCGTGGTTGTTCATGTAGCCGCCCGCCACAGAGGCTGTCAATTCAGTAAAGTGATTAATATATTGATCCCTAAAGCGGTACTGATTAAAATAATGGGCAAAGCGAAGTATGAATGAACCTCGTTAACGCTCTCTAGTTATTCGCACAAAATTAGGCTCTAGAGTGCAAATATGGGAAAACAGCATGTACATGTACTGTATTCCTACAAGCAGTTCAACATACTGTTTTCCCGTACTAACACTCTGTGGCCTGGCTTGTAATACGGCGCTGCAAAGATAATTGCCAAGACTACTAAACCAGCGAGTGCAGCGTTAGTTACTTTGGTGGCTTTTGCTTATAAAGGTATGTACTATTTACCGTAGAGTGTCGGCAAGGTTGTTGGACACGAAATCTGTGTGCACATGACCACATTTATATGGCATGCATATGATTGACATCCGTTGGTCTTGAAAAATACCCGTACATCATACATGTGGCCTTGACAGAGAAAGTCGTTGTACTTTCATTGCTGAGAGTCAAATACTGGCCGTACTTGACTTTCAAGAGGCGACAATACGGACACGGGTAGCATTTCGTACTGGCCTCTGTATACCGTCGTCTAAGAGAATGGCACTCCGAAAGCGCTGTTACAGCAAATCACGTCGGCCGCGCTCTCTTTTATTTGCTTAACTGGTTTGCTTAAGCAAAAGGCAATGCCACCAGCCGGAAATGCTACCGCTAAAACTCGTTCCATACTGCATTCGCCACGGTCAATCAACATATTGTGCCAGTACTTCGATTAATTCCGTCCTTTGACCGCTTTGACCATACGTTGCAGCTACTGGATCACTCGGCAGCCGGTGTCCGATTAGCCGGCATGTAACGCGTCACGTGGGGTCGGTTGGGGGTTCGTGAGCGGGTTGGCACTTTTTATAACGCGGTTTATTTAACCGAACACCGGCTCCCGTGTGGCGTATAAGCACAGTGGTCAAATTACGGGTTTAATCGAAGTATGTGAGGTCCCTTTTTCTCCCACCGGACCAGAACTCAGATTTGCATAGCGCAAAGCTAAGATTTCATTGTCCGAATTAGACTTGGTATATCTCATTTGGATTTACTCAAAAATGTATATTAGCTCAAATAAACGGATCGAAATTTATTGAAGCCATAGGAAGGCGGAATGCACCTCACCGTTCAGAACTTCAACCTAATAAATCAAA